CCTTGGACAGCTCACAGCGCTCTCCTGGCCTCAGTTTCCCTGTCTGTTCAGTGAGTCGGTGAATTAGAGCCGAGATTTTATTTGCACAGGGGATTCAGGAGGGTCTTTGAAGCCACTCTCCAAAATATATGTGGCAAATAATTCCATGGTTATGTGTATTTTTCTGGGCAGAGACCCTGTGGATTTAGTCAGGTTGCCACACGGTATGGAATACAGAAAAGGCCACTGCCTCCCCATTCGTGATGTGGCTGTCTGCAGTCGCCTTCAGAGCAAGGCGTCTGGAAGGAAGGGCAGGCAGGGGAGGGTGTTGTGGCTTGTTACTGAGATTAGGTGCTAACTCGAAGGGGGGCCAGGTAGAAAAGCCGGCTGAGCCACACTGGGCTACCCAAGGAGGGGAGGAGTCTGCCTGTGCCTAGGAAAAGCATCCTACCCAGTTCCTGAGTCTGTTGCTCTCCCCAAGTTGTCTATCTGGGGCAGCAGGTGCCCCCACAAGTCAGAAGTCCTGCCTGGAATCTGCTCTGTCTTATCTCTGAAATGTAGACTTAATTAAAGGTGGGTAAATTTTACAGCTGGGATAAAACAAACACTGTGCTGATACAGTTCCTGATGCCCTGTGCTGCCAGAGAGCCCTGCACAGAGCAGTCACACCATCCCCTTGAAACTGGCAGCATCCATGTGTACTAGGCTCTGTGTGCACAAGGAACACGTACTCTGGGTTCTAGGAAAGGAACTGCCCCGAACAATTCTAGCATTTGCTACATCACTCTCTTTTTAAGATCTTTTTAAGCCACTGAGTGAATGGCCCTTGAGTTGCACAGGAAGGAAAGTGTTGCATAGAGGTGAAAAATGACAGCAACTGCTGAAGCTGCTTCCCCAGGCCCCCTGAAAGATGACGTCAATTCCTTCCTGCACAGGGGAGAGAGGCAGGCAGAGGAGAAGTCGATGGCCGCTTGGTCCCTGGCTTTCACTGCCTAATGCAGCAGTTGTAGGAAGAAGTGTTTTGACATCATTCTCAAGTGCTGACAGCTTTTCATTCAAGTCCGGAGAGTGGGGATACTATCTGTGCCCTGGGCAGAACACCACTGATTCAACAACCCTGGAGGGATGACGAGCTGACCACACTACAGACTGAAGTCCCTTGGGTGTACCTCAGAGATAAATGCCATTGTTCCTGTATTTCACACAAGGGCACCAGGCAGGCATGGCAAGAGTCATTACCCTATACCGGCCTGATCCCTGCCATTTCTCTTTCCTGGACACAGGAGGCGTATGCGGAATACCTGAGGAGCATCCACTACATTTCCCAGGTGTTACTGGAAGAGGTAGAAACGACTAAAGGTACAGCTCAGCCCTGGCTGCTTTTTCCATGCTGGGGTAGCTTAGCCCCTGATGGGTCCCAAGCCTGGGGCATCTCCTGTGTCCTTCCATCCTGGTCGTTAGGTGGCGAGCACTCAGTGACTGTGAGCTGTCACAGTGTGACATGGTGGCAGGAAGGGGCCAGTGCTGTGGGTAAGGGGATGGAGACTGGGGTGGGGCAAGACACTGGCCCCAGTGAGCTGCACACAGGTGGGGCAGCAACCCCAACAGAAGGGTGTGCAAAGGCCCTGAGGAGTGGAGGGTGGGGCAGGGCTTTGTGCACCTTTGGTGGAACTGGGGTCATTCTGGTACAAAGGGAAGCTCAAAGCGGCTTTGAACCTTGTGGGAGAGGCCAGTGTGGGAGCAGAGCGTCCTGGAGTGAGGACTACGCAGAGGTGGGAGGAGTGAAGGCCTTGGGGGCATGTACCCTGCAGGTGTAACAGGCTAGACTTGCTCCGGGAGCCGGGGCAGGTGCAGACTTGTAAGGGGAGGAATAGAAGGTTCCACAGTGAGCACATTTGGGGGCAAACAGCTTGTTGGACATTGAGGTCAGGGAGAGAGAGCTAGTGGTTACCTCAGCATCCCGGGGAGCCAGTGAGCTCAGCTGAACTCTGGCACTCCCAGATTGATACGTTGGGAGGAGGAGGTGGCAGAGGATGCAGAAACCTGAATGGCCCACCATATTTGGCAAGATGGGGTGTGCAAGGGCAGTTTTGGGGGGGGGAGTCATGGGCTAAAACTGGGTGTGGCGGGAGAAGAAAATAGGAGTTTGAGACAGGTTTACTGTACAGGGGGCAGGGAGGTGGGTCAGAAGCTGGGGCTGGTGGAGGCCAAGGAGAGTTTAACCGTGGCAGCTCCTACAGGTGTCTGCTGACAGGAGAGATCCCAGAGGGACAGGGAGAGCAGAAGGCTCTGGTGAGCAGGCAGCGTGGGTCCAGCAAAGGCTGAGGGGGACATGGAACCTACGGGAAAGCAGGTCTGTGCATACACGTAGCAGGGGATGGGCAGGGAGATCCCCTCAGCTCGACCTTATCTCTGTGAAGTGGCCCTTAGAGACTGTGTGGCCTGCCTCCGAGGGCACTGTGGTCGCAAGTGAAGCCTCAGTGAGGAGTAAAGGCCCTGTTTAAGTCAGGCCTCCGATGAGGGGCCCAGGGTCAGTCCGAAGCTGGGCTGGCCAAGCACAGAGCCTGTGCAGGGCCACACGGTAAACCCTGGGCAAGTCATCAGAGGTGAGTGAGGACAGCTGGGTTTGCCCCACGTCGGTGGTGAGTGAAGGGTAGGTCTACCTAGCTTTTCTACTTTCTTGTTTCTATCTCAGCAAGTATCTGATGAGGGAGAGAGCTGACTGTGACCACCCTTCTTGTCCCTTTCCCAGAAGCTGGGGAAACCGTGCCCTCTGACACCTCAAAGATGCTGAAGCTGGCGGAGCAGTGTCTGGAGAGGGCCCAGTCCACAGCCGCCAAGCTTGGTGGGTCTCCTGCAAGAGGCCGTTCTTCTGGGGCATCCCCCAAGCCTGCATCTCCTTTGTGGGATGCGGGCCCACCCTGCTGACCCCTGGCTTTGTATGGCTTGCAGGGAAAACACGCCTGAAGCCAGCCATGCCCGTGGCTGCTCCAGTCCCCTCACCCACCAGCCGACACCGCCGGGTTTATTCAGATGAAGGAGGGAAGCTCTCTCCTTTTCTGCCACCTGAGATCTTCCAGAAGCTTCAGGTGGTAGAGTCACAAAGCTCTAAGAAGTAAGATGGGGCAAGATGGGAGGTGGGCTGAGTCTGGGATTAGGTTTAGAGGCCCAGGAAGGTGAGCTGATTTGGGGGAATTTAGTTAAAATGAGTCCCAGAATGGAATACCCTTTTGCCTGGCAGAAGCAAATCCAAATTCTCTTTGGAGGAAAGCATCTGCATCCTTCATAAAATAAGTGGCACACAGTCAAAGACAATCAAACACAAAAGGAAATAAGAAACTATGAGTGAATGATAGCTGAAACAGACCTGCAAGGTCTTCAGGGTTAGCAGGCACAGATGAAATATATATAGTCGATCCTCTGTATCCATGAATTCCACGTGCACAGAGTCAACCAACTGCAGATTGAAAATAGTTGGGGGAAAAAATACAAAATAAATAATACAGCATAACAACTATTTACATAGCATTTACATCATATGAGGTATTATAAGTAATCTAGAGCTGGTTTAAAGTATACAGTAGGATGTTTGCGGGTTATATGCAAATATTATGCCATTTTAAGTAAGGGACTTCAGCATCCGGGGATTTTGGTATCTGGGGGAGTGGGTTTTTTTTTTCCTGGACTCAACCCCCTGTGCATACCAAGGTATAACTGTATGCTGTGTTTATAGAAACAAAGAGCTAGTCTGAAAACATCTAAAGGGAATAACAAACTATAAAAGCTGACCTAGCTAATAAAGAACTAAGTAAAAGTGAAACAAAAAATACTAAAATTATTTCTAAGTACTAGTTGGGAACAAGAATAAATTATATCCTCCAGTAAAAGTCCACACAATAAACGAATACACAAGTTTATAACAACAGAGCAGACATAGCCAAAGAGAAAATTAGTGAAATTGGAAAAAAAGGTCAAAAGATACCCATAAATGTGTCACAGAAACAAAAAAGGAAATGAAGACAGAAAATGAGAGATGGGCTGGGAAGGGGCATTTTCAAAAAAGAAAATATGAGAGATGGAAGGTCTAACATAAGTTAATTGGCGTTCCAGAAAGAGAGGAGAAAGAAAGCGGGAGGGGAGGCATTTGAAGAGACAATGGCAGATAATTTTTAGAACTAATGAAACACACAAGACACAGATGCAAGATGCCCAGTGAGTCCCAACTGGGATACATACAAGAAGGACCCACCCCTCCTGGCGCTGCTGCGGCTGGGCCTCCTGGGCTCCTTCCTGCTTCCCAGTCGCCTCACTTCTGCATGTGCAGCTTCACGGCAGGGCCAGGCACAGGACTTCAGTCCCGGGACAGTCTTTTCCTCCTCAGTCTTGTTTTCCCACAACCTATACTCCACCACCCCTGACAGCAAGAAGATATGTGAAACCAAAAGCTTTCAAGCTGGAATGGCTATTGGTGACTGTCCTAAAGTAGAGACATACTTCTTCCTTTCCTGGGTTGTAGGAAATCTAGTCTAGCTGTTTGACCCATACAATGCCTTTGAAGAGTTTCACATCATTGCCAAACATATATAACTGGTCTTCATAAGTCAGTGGCCCATCCAGCTTCTCTTGAAAAGTCAAAAGTCCTGGCAACTCGAAGGCCTGTGTTCCAGCAGCGCAGGTATCTCCAGGCCACTCTCTCTCCACGACCTGCCTGCCCCCACCACCACCAGAGCGGGTCCGGGTCCGCAGGGATGAGGGAGGGTCCTCAGGTCACCAGAGCACCCCTGGGCTTCCTGGGGCCTGGACGGCAGCTTGTCCCCATTTCCAGAGAGCTGACACCACTGGAGGAGGCCTCCCTGCAGAACCAGAAGCTGAAGGCTGCATATGAGGCCCGGATGGCCCGTCTGGACCCCAGCCAGGCCATGCAGAAGACATCCCTGGTGAGTTGGGCCCCGGGACTGACTGGGGTTGGTCGGCAAGGGTCGGGCTGGGGGTTCGGGAGTATGGCTCACTCCTTCCTTTCCTAGACCCTGTCTCTGCAGAGGCAGATGATGGAGAACCTGGTGATCGCCAAAGCCCGGGAGGAAACAGCATCCTTTCTGATCATCCTGGTGGTCCCTGAGGGAAAATTCACAGCGTGGCCTTGAGCTGAGGGCAGAGAAGTGGGCTGCCTGGGGGAGCAGAGGACCCAGGGTTGGAGCGTAGCAATGAGAATCCTCACGCCTTAGAGGGGCGCGTCCTCTGGGGGGTCCCAGGCCCTCCTCTGGCTCTCCTGGCCGCCCAGCCGGCTGCCCGCCGCCCCCAGCCTTCTCCAGCACCGGCCCGAGCTCGCCGCTAAGATGTGCCTCCCCTGGGAACCCCCTTCCCGAGTCGGGCCCGTACTCCCAGCCCTGCTCGCCCGCCCGCCCGCTGCGCCCCGCGCCGCAGGCCGGGGTCCCGGGGGCGCGGGGCCGCCAGGCGGCCGGGGACGGGACGGGGCGGAGGCCGCGCGGCTCGCACTCTGCGCCCCTTGACTCTGCCGCCCAGCTCCAGCGCAAGATGGAGGAGCGCCGGCTGCGGCTGCAGGAGGCCGCCAACAGGTGCGTCTGCGGCTGCCCGGGCAGCCGGGAGGCCTGGTAGGGCCGCGCCCTAGGTCCGGCCCGGGGCCCACCTCGCCCTTGCTCCCCAGGCGGTTCTGCAGTCAAGTCGCCCTGACCCCGGAGGAGCGCGAGCAGCGGGCGCTCTACGCCGCCATCCTCGAGTACGAGCAGGACCACGTGAGTGCAGCGGTCCGCGCGGGGCGGGGCCGGGGCTGGGCGGAGCTCTAGGGGCGGGGCCAGGGCTGGGCGGAGCTCTAGGGGCGGGGCTCCATCTGGTGGGGCGGGGCCAGGGCTGGGCGGAGCTCTAGGGGGCGGGGCTCCATCTGGTGGGGCGGGGCCAGGGCTGGGCGGAGCTCTAGGGGGCGGGGCTGAGCCAGGGGCCAACTGGCCTGCTTGCGTTGGGCTCCCTCCACCCTGGAGAGGCTGGACAGTCTCCTGGGGCCAACCTTGGCACGCGGTGCGGGGCATCCCCGTCGTGGGAGACCCCCGTGCTTTCCTCCAAGGCGCCCTGTCCTGCAGGACTGGCCAAAGCATTGGAGGGCCAAGCTCAAGAGGAGCCCAGGGGACCTGTCGCTGGTGACCAGCCTGGTCTCACACCTGCTCAGGTACCCTGAGCCTGCAGGCACCCCCCTGATTTGGCCCCACAGAGCCCCTGTCCACTGGGCCTCAGCTCCTCCCCCTGCTAATATTACAAAAGGCGGTTACAAAGCCAGGAGCTTAACTGGGAGGTTGGGAAGGCTGTTGCCTGGGGAGAGGGGCAGACTGCCGAGGTCCCTGCCTGGCCCCTGTGGAGCCTCAGCTGCTTTGAACGGAGGGTTTCCTTGGCTTACCTCCACTTCCCCATGGGGGTGAGTCAGACTTTATTTGAAACATCACCGACAGGAAGTAATCCAGGAATCACTTCTCTGAACTGATTCATAGTGTGGCAGCTTTGTAGACAGGTGGGTGTCACAGATGAGGGCCCGAAGCTCAGACGGGTGAGGTCAGTGACCGGCTGGGGCCAGCAGGTAGACTGCCACTCCTTCTCATTCTGACGGGTGGCCACAGAGGCGCATGATCACTGCTGAGGCACGAGGACGGTGGTGGGTGCTGCCTCTTCTTGGGGTGCAGCATTTCCCAGACAGCCAGCCCCTCTCCTTGCAGCCTTCCCGACCACCCGATCTCGCAGCTCCTGAAGAAGCTCCAGTGTGCCGTGTACAGCACGCTGTACCCTGTCGTGAGCAGGGCCGCCACCAGCGCTGCACCTGCCCCCGGCTGCTGCTCCCTGCCCCCAGACACTGACCGGCTGCTGGCTCCTGGGAGCCGCCGGCTCCGGTCCTCGCAGAGCCTGTACTGCATGCTCTCCCCGCCAGAGCCCAGCACCGCCCCGCGGCCCCAGGACGGCTCCCCTGCCCTCACCACCACACCCCCGATGTACCCTGGCCCCCTGGACAGAGGGGCAGAAAGCAGCCCCGGGGGGCCACCCTCCCCCCTGGGAGATGCCTCATCCCACCTGCCAGACAAAGACAGCTCCTTTGAGGACCTGGAACAGTTCTTGGCTACCTCTGAGAGGTGGGGCCGGGGTCTTGGGGGGCAGCCTGAGCCACAGACCCCAGGGATGCAACAGGAGCCCCTGCTGGAGCAGCTGAAGAGTGCTGTGAAAGACATACACAACGCCATCGGTGAGGCCCAGGCCAGGCAGTGGGGGAGCTGCTCTGGCTCCAAAGCAGCGGGCAAGTGCAGCTCTCCAGGGCCTTGGGTTAAACCTGGGACACAGTCCTTCCCTGGATGCAGCCGTGCCAGCCCTGACCCGCAGCTCTGTCTACCCTCCCCTGGGGCCAAGCATTCTGCCCAGCAGAGCAGGCCCTGGCCCTGCCCCAGGCCCTCAGAGAGCTGGTGGGGCGGGTGTTTGAGTCCCCACTGTCCTCACCAGGCTGCACAGGAAGGAGGGAGATGGGGCCTGTTTACCTCTCACTCCTTTGCCCTGTCCGGGTCAGTATGTCAGAGCCTGTGGTCAGCAGGTGGTCCTGGCTGTCCCACTGGGTCAGACACTTCATCTCAACCCCAGGACTGTGGAGCGTGTGCAGCCTGGTGGTGCCAAGAGGCTCAACCCTCGGCCTCTCTCCATTTGGAGATGGTGTGTGGATCCCTCACTCCGAGCCCTCTCTAGAGAGGGAGGCTCACTGTGCTGCCACGTTCCGGGGGACTGGGGCCACTGGCTCAGACAGGGAGGAGTGCCGCAGCCTAGAGGTGGTGCCAGGGGTGACTCTGTTGGGACATCCTGGCTCTCTTCCTGGCAGACAGGCTGCTCTCGCTGACACTTCTGGCCTTCGAAAGCCTGAACACAGCTGCCTCCAAGGACCGTTGCCTGGCATGCATCGAAGAGCCCTTCTTCTCCCCGCTGTGGCCTTTGCTGCTGGCCCTGTACAGGTATGCCCCCCGCCACACTGGCAGCCACTCCTGACTTCAGCTCCAGTCCCCCACTGGGCCTGCCCGGCTCACCTGGGCACCGTCTGCTCTCCTTTCAATCCCTGAGGGGTTTTTTGGTACTTCTGGCCAGGGCTGTGCTCTGAGGCTATCCCCAGGTGTCCCCAGTTTGCAGGTAGGGCCATGCCCACCTCCCACTTCTGGGGTCTCAGGAACAGCTGGGACATTTGCTCGGTTTGCACGGCCAGCTTTCTCCAGCACTGAGCCCCAGAGGCCTCTGGCCACAGTCCTGCCTCCCCCCAGGGAGGCTGAGCCTGGCCTCTCCCCGACACAGGAACGTGCACCGTGCCCGGGAGGCCGCCCTGGGCAGGAGCATGGAGCTCTACAGGAACGCACCCCCCACAGCCATTGGCATCCCCACCAAGCTGCTCCCCCGGGACCCTGAGGCTAAAGGGGCCACCGCCTACCCCTACTGTGCAGCAGCGCAGGAGCTGGGGCTGCTGGTCCTGGAGAGCTGCCCCCAGAAGAAGCTGGAGTGCATTGGTGAGGGGGCTCAAGAACCAGAGAACAGGGCCGGGCGTGGCAGGGTCCCACCCAGTGGGCGACCTGGAGCCTCTTGTCGGATGTGGGGGTGGGAGCGGTGACCACAAGGCTCACCCAGCTCTTCCTGGCCCAGCATATCCAGAGACAAGCGGGTGGTCCAGGGAGTGTGGGGGCCTCCTTCTGCACCCCCTGCACCACTCAAGCCACACATCTGTGCCACAGTGCGGGCCCTGCGGGTCATCTGTGTCTGTGCTGAGGACTACTGCCACACCCAGGAGATCGCGTCTGAGGCTGGACCCCAGCCCGTGGCTGTGGCCGCCATGTGAGTCCCAGGAGGGCCGGGCTGGGGGCCACCCTGGGAGGGCACTGGGCAGGTGAGGGGCTGTCCTCCTGCCTGCAGAAGCCCGCTAGTGGGAGAGGACTCTCCCTGCCCGGCATTGGGCATCCCCTGAGCTGCAGAGCCTGTCTTCTGGAAGAACAAGGCTATGGCCACTGAGGACCCCAGGCTCAGAGGAGGCGAGGGCAGGGCTCCTGCCCCATGGCCATGCACGGTCCAGCCCCCCTGGGCAAAGCTGTTCACACTGTGCCCCGGGAGCTGGGCCAGGGCTCCATGGGGGTCAGGAACCCCATGGCTCATCTGGTGATATTTAGGGTTGCTTTTCCCAGAAGCATATGCTTGGACCCCCAGGTTCACATTCGGGGGAGCAAGGGAGTGGTGGGCCCCCTTAAGCCACCTAGGCCCTGGTGAAGAGCCTGCTCCCTACACGGGCCTCCCAGCCAAAGCAGGGAGTCCTGCAATGTCCCTGTCAACCCTCCTCCCAAGGGGCACGCAGGGTTTTCCCCACCGGAGTTCTGCAGGCCTCGGGGTAGTGATGCCCGACCCTACCTCAGTCTCCCCTGGACTCAGCTGAGGCCAGCAACCTCCCGAGTCCACCTGGAGTCCACCTGGAGCCAGTATCCCCTCAGCTCCTGCATGGGCTCTGCCTCCTGCAACCCTACCCCATGGGCCAGGGTCAGCCCTCAGTATGCCTATTCCTGCAGCCTGGGGTGGGCCTGATCTAAGGCTCCCTCCTCCGTCTTATGGAAGCTGCTGCCCTGTGGGGTTCTGAGCGCCCCGCAGAGCTTCACTGGCTTAGTCCTGCGGTGGGTTTGGGGTGCTCGCTGTGCCAAGCTGGTGACACCAGTTTCAGCTTGCTGCTGCCCAGACCCTTGGTGTAGGGCCCCCGGTGGACCAGAGGGGACCCTGCGGAGCGTGAGTGAGGCAGCTGCAGGGGGAGGGGCCCCCATCCTGCCCCCAGACCCTGGAGCTGCGAGGTCAGAGCTCAGGCTTCTCCATTGTGGGGAGACGGCACAGCCTGGAGGGCCTGGGGGCCCCTTCACTGCTCCCAGGGGTCCCCTGGGCCACAGGTGCACAGGAAGGCACAGAGAGGGCAGCCAGCATGGCAGGGCTGCTCCAAGGGCCAGCAGGGCTGCTCCAAGGGCCAGCAGGCCTGGGGAGGGAGCGGCACCGGCCCCAGCCCACAGCGCTGTGCCTTGCCTGACAGTGGCGCGGACGACCTGCTGCCCATCCTGTCGTTTGTGGTGCTGAGGAGCGGCCTCCCCCAGCTGGTGTCGGAGTGTGCAGCCCTGGAGGAGTTCATCCACGAGGGGTAGCGGCCTGCGGGGGGGCCCTCTGTGGGAAGAGCTGGGGGCAGGGCAGCCTCGCTTGCCAGGGGACCTAACCCCGTGGTCTGGTGCCCACAGGCTACAGGCATGTGGCCCCACCTGTCACAGAGCATGCCTTTGGGCCACCCCTTTCACTCCACCTGTGTACAGGCTGCCCCCAGCCAGCATGTCCCATTCTCCAGAGGCAGAGCTGAGGGGCTGTCCCCTGAGCATATCCTCCAGGGGAGGGGCTGAGGGGCCCAAGGACAACGGGACAGGTGGGAAAGGCCTCCCCAGCCTAACCTCCCTGACAGCCCACCTGGGGGCAGCCTGGTGCCCTGTGAGGGCAGCTGCTGCCTCTGGAGTACTGGGGCGTCCCTTGTTCCCCGCAGATGACATGTGCTGCCTGTGTCCCTGCAGGTACCTGATTGGAGAGGAGGGCTACTGCCTGACGTCGCTGCAGAGCGCCCTCAGCTACGTGGAGCTGCTGCCCCGGGGAGCCCTGGGCAAATCGTAGAGGCCGGACAGACTCAGGGTTCCCGGGGCCATTCCTCCTGTACCTCAGAGCCACGGGACCCACCGAGGACTTTCCAGGAGCTCACATGCCCTGCATACCTGGCACCGGGGCCAGGGGGGCATGTCAGCTGGGGGTGCTCTCAGCCCTTGCCACCCCTTCGCCACACATCTGCCGCCAGGCCGCAGGCAGCACCAAACCAGCCACCAGGACCAGGCTAAGAGGCCCCATTGGAAGCTGAGCTGGGGGCTCCCCTGGGGTCCCTCAGGCCCTGACAGGGGCCCTGTCCCCCCTATGGCCACAAGCTCCGTGATGAGCATCTGGCTGGACCCCAGCACACCCTCACTGACGTGGAGGCAGCTCCTGGGGGTGTCAGAGTGGGGGGCTGTTTGCTAGCCCATCCACAGCAGTAGCAGCAGTCAGTCCCGTCCCCCAAGACTGTCCAAGCTCCTCTGAGCCAGCTCCTTGTCGGAGTTAAGACGAGAGCCTGCCACCTCCCCTCCCCAGGCCGGGTGCAGGTGGTATGAGACTGGTGTTCTTCACTGGGCTGCTCTGGGTGCCTGACGGGCCCTGAGCTGCCTCTCACTCACTGCGGCAGCAGGTGGTGAACATTCGGGACCCCCGGCCACCTCCACCCTGAATGTCCTGCCCCAGGGCAGTGAGAGCTGAGGGTCGGTGCCCAACAGTTACATGTCCACTCATGGTCACCCCCCCAGACTAAAATAAAGAGGTCATTGCTGTCTCACTTGACATGGCTCCTCAGCCCCCACCCTGCTGCCCACCAGAACCCACTGAGATGGATGGTGAGAGCCACAGCACCCCCAAACCCAGCCTGGCCCATGCTTGTGAGGGTCTGGGAGCAGGAGCTGAGCAGGGCTCTGTCCTAGGAAAGGACAGCTCTGCCAGGCACCAGTGGGTTGGGTGGGGTTGGGGTCAGAGGTCGTCACAGAGGACCTGAGCCCAGAGCCCTCGCCTGAAGGTCTCTCGGGAGTCATTGTTGGTCTGCGCCTGGAACAGGCACACAAGTGCCCTGCTGTGGAAGCACGTGGCCCCTGGAGAGGAGGGGCAGGTGGCTGAGCGAGGCAGACTCCATCAGGAAGGAAGGGCCCCTCTGCCCCCCACACAGGAAAGGGGAGCCCCAACCCCAGGTTCCACCAGGAGCTGGCTGTGGGGTAGTGTTTCGGTCCCTTGGGGAAGGAGTCTTACAAAACGGTAACAGCCGATGTTTATCAGACGCTCCTTGTTTCAAACCCTCTGCAGGTAATAACTGGGTTACTCCTCACAGGACCCCATGGGGAAACAGGTGACATACTTCTCCAGGTGGCTGGCAGAACGGGCTTTCAGCCCGGGAGGCTGACTCCAGAGACCAGTGCCAGGGATGCCTGGGACTGGCACCCCAAGAGCAGGCACTAGCACCAGAGCCAAGGCAGGGCAACCCAGTCCCTGGCAGAGCTGTTCTCTAGCTGCAGCCTCCATGGGTGGGTGATGCCGGGGCTTGACCTCTCAGTGATTCCCCACCCCCAACCCCTCACCCAGAGTCCCAGGAACACGCAGGCTGCCACTTACCTGCCTGCCCATGTGTGGCAGAGTTTTCAGTCCGCTGCATCCCAGCCCTCTGCAAAGAAAAGACCCAAACTCAGCCCCTAACTCTACCCTGGACGCCCTGGTGCTCTAACTCCAAGATGCTTCTCTCCAATCATAAGCTTGTGTTCTTGTGAGGCATGGAGTTCTGAGTTCCCTGGACCTGAATCCCAGCTAGATTTGGTGTCTTTATGGGTGTGTATAAGGGGTAATATCCCTGCCCCAGGCTTCAGCATGCATGTCTGAAGGGGGGATTTTTGTTGTTGGAGACAGAGTCTCGCACTGTTGTCCCAGCTAGAGTGTGATGAGGATCCTCCTGCCTCAGCCTCACGAGTAGCTGGGACTACAGGTGTGCACCAGCTAACCGTGCCCAGCTAACTATTCTATTTTCAGTAGAGATGGGCTCTCACTCTTGCTCAGGAATAGTCTTGAACTCCTGACCTCAACTAGTTCTCCTGCCTCAGCCTCCCGAAGTGCTAGGATTACCAGTGTGAGCCACCACACACTACTTGAAGGTGGGATTTTAAAGCCCCACTTCAGAGAATGGTGATGAGCTATGTCTTGAGCAAATCCTGATCGTGAAGCACCTGTTGGCTTTGCATCAGGGGCAACACCTGTCAGGCCAGTACTTTGAGGGCTAGGCCTGTGCTGGCCCAGCTGTTTCCTTGGCACACATTAGGCAGGCTGTGTTCAGGTGCGCTTCTTGCTGTGTGAGTTTAGGCTACTCCTTTAGCCTCTCTGAGCCTGCAGCGCCTCCATAAAACAGGGATGAGTAGTAGTAGAACCTTCCCACCTGAAATCCTGCAAGTCAACAAGAAAAAAACAGGAGCCCCAGTTAAAAAAATAGCAAAGATTACAAATGGCTACATGTAGAGAAGGAAATCAAAAAAGCTATTCTGCATAATTCATGTTCAAATCATAGCAAAAATCAAATGCAAATTAAACAAGATATAACGTCACACCCATTAGACTGGTGAAAATCAGCAAGCTGGAAAGTGCTGAGTGTGGTGATGTGTGGGGAGAGAGGGACCCAGTGCACAGCTGTGGGCCGGATGGGGCAGGGAACTTGAGAGAACCAGGTGGCCGTCCTGGGTTAGGTAAGTACAGGTGGACCCTCTGACTAGGGAGTCTGCTTCTGCTCTTAGCCCAGGGTCCACAGGATGTGTGGGAGGCAGAGTTGAGGCACTGTAGCATCCATCCCTGGGGAAGCAAAGAAAGAAATGTGAAGCCGGCCGGGCGCGGTGGCTCATGCCTGTAATCCTAGTACTCTGGGAGGCTGAGGCCGGAGGATTCCTCAACGTCAGGAGTTCAAAACCAACCTGAGCAAGAGCATGACCCCCGCCTCTACTATAAATAGAAATAAATTAATTGGCCAACTAGTATATATAGAAAAAATTAGCCGGGCATGGTGGCACATGCCTGTAGTCCCAGCTACTCGGGAGGGTGAGGCAACAGGATCGCTTGAGCCCAGGAGTTTGAGGTTGCTGTGAGCTAGGCTGACGCCACGGCACTCACTCTAGCCTGGGCAACAAAGCGAGACTCTGTCCCAAAAAAAAAAAATAAAAGAAAGAAAGAAAGAAATGTGAAGCCACTGCGTCCCAGGTAGCTACCCCCTGTGTGACAAACCACCGCAACTCACTGGCTGGAATACACAACAGTATTTGGGCAGGGCTCAGAGGGGTCAGCTTGTCTCTGTCCCTCCCCAGGCGTAACCCAGGGCAGCTTCCAGGTTGGGGTAACCCAGCGACTACGGTTGGGTTTTGCCCACTATCTGCAGTTGATGCTGCAGTCAGCTGGGACCTCAGAGCTGTTAGAGCAGATACATGAGGTTTGGATGAATGTCCTGGGGCTGCCATGACAAATGCCATAGAATGAATGACTTAGAACTGAAATTTACTCTCAAGGTTCTGCCGACCAGAAACCCGAAACCAGGATGTGGGCATGGCATGGGAGCGAGGCTGGGGCCAGTCAACAGCGAGAGGACCAGTGTCTGAAGGTGGCTGCAGGCAGGAATTCTCAGTGTTCCTTGGCTTGAAGCTGCATCACTCCAGCCTCCTCCCCATGCATCTGTGTCTAAATTTCTGACTTCTTACGGGGACACCAGTCATACTGGATTTAGGGTCCGTCCTAATCCAGAATAATCTCATCTTGACTTGATGACATCTCTAAAAACCCTATTTCCGAATAAAGTCACATTCACAGGTTCCAGGAGGACCTCACAGCCCAGGGCAGGGCTTTCCATGTGGCAAGCAGGGTCACACCGGGTCAGGCCCATCCCAGGAGTCGCAGCAGGAACGAAACCCAGTCGGTTCGGGGCTCTAGGCCCAGCGGGACGGAGCACCGGGCCGCACGAGCTCAGTCGCGAGCTGGGGGGAGGCTAAGGGAGGTGGAGGCGCACGAAGTCGGCGGCCCCTCGCGGTTGGCGTGGCAGCGAGGCTGGGGCCCGTCAACAGTGAGAGGACCAGTGTCCCGCCCGGAACGCGCCAGCCGGGTCACAACGCAAGTGCCGGGCGAACGTGCTGAGACTCAGACCGGCGCCCAGCAGGCCACGTGGCAAGCTCGGGTCCGTCCGGCGGGCAGGAGGGGCAGGTGGGCCTCGCTCTATGCCGGACCCTCTGCCTGCTCCGCCCGCCACGGGGCGGCTTAGCCCGGGGCCAACGGCGCGGGGCAAACAGCAGCAAGTCCCACGGAGCCGGCCGGGCCGTCGCGCTGCCTCCAAGAGCCCCCGACGAAGCTCCCAGGCCCGAGGGCCGCCCGAGACCACGCAGCCGGGCGGGTGCAAACCCCGGGCTCGCCGGGCCCGCGAGCACACAGTGACAGCGACGCGAAGACACACACTGATGGCCCCGCCCCACGCTCCCAGCCAATCCCCGCCTAGAAATGGGGCCCCGCCCCACGCCCCCAGCCAATCCCCGCCCAGATGTGAGGGCGGCCCTACCCCCGCCGGGAGAGGCCCCGCCCTCCGCACGCTAGCCAATCTCCGCCTGGAAATGGGGCGTCCCCGCCCCCGTCGGATTACCCCGCCCTGTGCCCTCAGCCAATCCTCGCCAGCCAATGTGGGTGGCCCCGCCGCCGCTGGCGCCCCAGCCCCCTGCAGGCGCGGCCGAGCGGAGCCCTGGTCCCTGCGGTGGGCGCTCCCCAGAGTCGGCTCTGGGAAGCCCGCTCCGACGGGAAGACCGAGCGGGCTCCCGCCCCCGCCCCGCGGGAGGGGCTGTCGGAACAAGCAGGCGCCAAGCGCCCGCAGCTCTCGCCCAGGGTTGGCGGTGGACGACGCTAGCCCCGGGGAGGCGGGAGGCGACGGGACTGGCGGCCGCAGAGGTGCAGGCGCTCGGCGGGCGGGACCGCCGTTCCCCGCCTTCCCCAGGCCCCGCCCGCCCCGTCGGTAGCCGAGGGTGGCAACCGGCAGGTCCGCCCCCTGCGTCACCGCACGGCCCGCGCGCGAAGCCCACGCCCGGCGGAAGCGCGCGGCCGGGGAGAGGCCAGCGCTGAGCAGCGGCGACGTCCGGACTGCCGGGGACGGACAGGTAGCGCGTGGGGGACCCGCAGCTCGATCTGGTGGCGAAGAGGCCTGTGGCCAGGACGGGGGTCAGGGAAGGGGCGCTGTCTGTCCGGTGCGCACAGCCGCCAGGGCCGCGGTCTGCAGGCCGGAAGGGGGGCGCTGCACGTGCTGGAAGCCGCTCCGCTGGAAAGGACTGGAGCTCCAGGCTGAAGGGGCCCTGCGGATGCGGGGTAGGGGGCGTAGAGCCGGAGGAGGGGCGTGTTCTCTGGCTGGAGGGACCCTGCGGATGCGGGGTGGGGGGTGCTGTAGAGACCCGGGCCGCACAGCTGCGGGAGGCGTCTGTGGTTCCTGATCCCCCCACCCCACCGCAGGATGGGCAGTAGCTCGCTGTCGGAGGACTACCGCCTGTGCCTGGAGCGCGAGCTGCGGCGGGGACGCGCGGGCGTGTGCGGGGACCCCTCGCTGCGCGCCGTGCTCTGGCAGATCCTGGTGGAGGACTTCGACCTGCACGGGGCGCTGCAGGACGACGCGCTGGCGCTGCTCACCGACGGCCTGTGGGGCCGCGCCGACCTAGCACCCGCGCTGCGCGCCCTGGCCCGCGCCTTCGAGCTGCTGGAGCTGGCCGCTGTGCACCTGTACCTGCTGCCCTGGAGGAAGGAGTTCACCACCATCAAGGTAGGGCGCTGGACCAAACGGGAGCGCGCCCGCGGGCGACAGGGCCTCGGTTGCTTTTCCTACCAGGCTGCCGGGGGCTGGCTCCTGTCGGGAGAGAGGGATTTCAGGTGGCCTCCGGAGCTCACAGCACTCAGCGGACTGGCGCGTGTTGGGTCAGCTCCCAACCGAGGGCTTTGGGGCACTCCCAGGACTAAGAACCTGGGGCGGGCAGAGGGGCTTGTATGCTACCTACCCGGGGGAAACCCTACCCTTAAAGTCCAAATCACTGCAGTCCCAGAAGTGGCCTCGCGGCCCTAGTTGCCATGGAAATCCAAGGACAGGCGCACGAGAGGGACTTGAGGTCCCATGGTCATCCTAATTTCTCCAGTATGTGGGCTGATCCCATTTGCAGAGGACGCTGAGGCTGGGAGGAGCAGGCGGATGGGTGTGTGCCCTGCGAAGTCAGCAGGGACTGGGCACGGACCTAGTTCACTCCTTGGCCCCGGCTCGGAGGCTGTGCCCAGGGCTAGCCTGACCCCTCTAGGTGAGCCGCTGGCCTGCATGAGGGGGTAGGGCCGCCGGGAGCGCTGAGCTAATTCCAGAGTAGGAAGGCGATGACGTCACTGCACACGTGGGCGAGGTACGCCTCCGCCAGTTGCCATGGTAGCGGCAGCCTCTCTTGAGGGGCGCGGGAGCTGCTCCACGGGGACACCTGCTGGCCCGAGGTTGCGGGTCTCGGATCCGTCCATTCAGACCGGAGGGGAGGATGGGCAGGCCTGCCCTTGGGACGTTCGCAGGCTGGGGGCCGGGAGAGTAACGCTGGGTTTCGCAGGTGGGCAGACCTGCTTAGTGCTGGTCCTGCCTCTTGGCTGTGTGGCTTTGGGCAAATTACCAAATCTCTTGCAACCCGTTTCCTCCTCTGAGTAATCCAGTTTCTGGGCTAGAGGGATGAACACAGAGTCCTGAGCACGGTGGGCACACAGTTGGTGCCCAATGGTGGGAGATGTCGTAAGTGCCTGGTCCTAGAGTAAGGAATTTTTAAGTTGAGAGAGACACATCGTTGTCCTAGTCGTTCCTTTCATTCATCACCTAACTGCAGCTAGAAGGGACTTTGGTTTGGTTACTCCAGGGCTCTCAGCCAGTTGTACGCTTCAGCCACATGGTGGAAAACCCAGTGGCAAAGCCCCTGGCCCCACAGGGAAAGATGTCGAGGCTGAAATGGAAGAAACCAAAGTTCAGAATAGTGCACTTAAGAGGTTTCCAGCTAAGGGGGCAAGTTGCATTCTTCTGCGTTTGTGTTTGTATAACCAAACACCTGGCCAAGTGCATCTGAAATGAGAAGAGTAGAATTTCTCAATGTAAGGGCTCTTTGTGTTCCAATTTATGAGCCAGTGAATACTATTTTTAACTACAACTTAAAAATTCTGATGCCCAGGCCTGCCCCAGACTGATTAGATGAGTCTCTGGGGGTGGGCCCCAGCATCAGAAGGCGGCCAAAGCCAGGGCAGATGGGCCCTGGGGGTCTCCAGCCTGGGGAGGGTGGGCTGTGGCTGACCAGGTCTCTCCCTTGCAGACCTTCTCAGGGGGCTACGTGCACGTGCTCAAGGGTGTACTCTCGGAGGACCTCCTCCTCAAGAGCTTCCAGAAGATGGGCTACGTGCGCAGGGACAACCACCGCCTCATGGTGACTGCCCTTCCCCCAGCCTGCCAGCTGGTCCAGGTGGCCTTGGGCTGCTTTGCCCTCCGGCTCGAGTGCGAGATCCTGGGGGAGGTGCTGGCCCAGCTGGGCACCAGTGTGCTGCCGGCTGAGGAGCTGCTGCAGGCCCGGCGGGCCAGTGGGGACGTGGCCTCCTGTGTGGCCTGGCTGCAGCAGCGGCTGGCCCAGGACGAGGAACCACCGCCCCTGCCCCCCCGGGGCTCTCCTGCTGCTTACAGGCCCCCCCTGGACTTGTACCGGGACCTGCAGGAGGATGAGGGCTCTGAGGAGGCCAGTCTGTACGAGGAGCCGTCCCCAGGCCCAGACTCGCCCCCCGTGGAGCTGGCCTACAGGCCCCCACTCTGGGAGCAGAGTGCCAAATTATGGGGCTCTGGGGGCCGGGCCTGGGAGGCCCCAGGTGAGGAGCTGTCTCGGGCCAGCAGCCCACCCTATGGGGCCTCAGAGGAGGAGCTGGAGCCTGAGCCCTCAGCCTTCTCCTTTCTCTCTCTGCGCCGAGAGCTGAGTCAGCCTGGAGACCTGGCCGTTCCCGAAGCCCCCAGGAGTCCTGGGGGGGCCAGTCCCCGACGCATGAGGCCAGAAGAGGCATCGGCCTCAGCCTACGGGGCTGCCCCTGATCCCCCAGGCTACCAGGCGCACGGCTGCCTGCTCCCGGGCGCACTGCCCACCCTCTGCTGCGACACTTGCCGCCAGCTGCACGCAGCCCACTGCTCGGCCCTGCCCGCCTGCCGCCCCAGCCACTCACTGCGCGTGTTGCTTGGGGAGACCCAGCGTCGCTTGTGGCTACAGCGCGCTCAGATGGACACCCTGCTCTACGACAGCCCTGGGGCCCGACCCTAGGCCCCGAGGGGCCCCAGGTCGAGGGCTTTTGGGAGACAGTTCCCATGGTGCTTCTCTTTGGGGATATGGCCCGATGGCTGCCCTGCCCTGGGCATGGAAGAAGTTAGAGTCCAGGCCCCACTTGGGAGGGGCTGGGGGGGGTTGCCCTTGTCTCATACAAGGCACCTCCTGAGGGGGCCATTCCCTGTCCTTGGTACCCAGGCCATGCCCACCTGTGGAGGGTGGAGGGGCCCAGCCTACTTGTCCATGTCACGTGCTCAAACCTCTCCCTGAAAAGGAACCCTGACCCCTCAGGCCCTCTGGCTGGCCTGTAGCTCCTGACCTGCTCCACGAAGTCTGTGGTCCAGGACATGTCACTTCCTTGTCTCCAGGGTGTTACCCACACAGGGAGGCCCCTGAGATCCTGCAGCTGGCACTAAGGCCAGGCGGGGCCTCTGCCTGGTGCACAGTGGACCTGGCTGTGGGTCCCCTGGCCCTTCTCCTAGGGTGTCACAGGCACAGCCGACAGGGCCAGCTTCCCAGACAGAAAAGGGTGACCGAGAGCTGCAGCTGTCCGGGAACAGGTGGTAGGAGGCACCAGCCTGGCCGTGAGCATCACTCCCCTGCCAGGAGGACAGAGGTCCTCAGCAGCACCCCAGCCTTCCAGGTGGAAGGTGGGAGTGAGGGGCCTCGCAGGCTGCTGGGCTTGTGGTGGGTCCAGTGGGTAAAGGTGCAGCCAGTTCCCGTGTAGCTGCTCCTGAGGCAGCACCGTCCCCAGGCTGGGGAGGAGGGGTCTGGCCTGGCCCACCTTTGGGACTGATGCTCTTGGCCTGGGCTATTGGGAGGCTGTTCTGGGCTTGCCCCTCCCTGGCCACCAGGGTACTGGGCACCACCCTCATCCCTCCAACCCAACCCACCCCCTTCCCAGCACACTCAGAGGAGACTGTCAATGTTGCAAGAATCAGAGCCCCAAAGTACATTAAACGATGGAGAAACCACAGTGTTAGGAAAGCTTTTATGGGATGGGAACCCACTATTTTCCTCCCTCAGCATTAGACCCAACCATACCCCTCTTCTTGGGGCCAGACCCAGCTCAGCCTACAGCCCGGCTCTCCTGGTGTGCTCAGGGGTGCACCCCCAATCACTCAGCCCTGGGCAGCTGCTGGTGACCAAGAGGCAACACAAGTCCCAGGTCAGCACCCACTAGCGTTTCCAGGGCAGCCATGGGGATGGGCCTGCACTCACAGTTCCTGCTAAGAGTGGGGGGTCAGTCTCAAATTCTACCAGACAAAAGCGGAAGTGATGGGCGAGGCCCCGTGCTCTAGAAACCCAGCCCTTCTAGAACTCCCACCCCTGCCTGTTTCTGGGGGTGGGTGCAGAAGAGGGTGTGGTGGAGTTGGCTGGAGGAGGATATCCTAGCCAAGGGGACGAGCTGGATCCCAGATGGCTGGTCAGCCCAGCCTGACAGGGTCCCTGCCTGTCCACTGCTGACAAAATGATCCAGCTGAGGGGTGCAGGTGTGTGCCAGGCTCAGCATCAGGGCTTGCAGCGCTTGGTCTGGCCCTCAGCCGTGGCCGGGGCGGCCCGCTTGTTGCGGTGGTGAGGGAAGGTGGGCATAAGCTCTGGCTCGCAGGCTGCAGGGAAGAGAACAGCTTAGTGTGAGGTGGGGGTGGGGGGCTGCCCAGGCAGGGCCCCAGGCAAAGGAAGCATCTCCAGGGCTGAGCCCAGCTCTGCTTTGGGCCCTGGTCCTATGCTGCCCCTGCTCCATCTGTCCCCACCCCCAACCCATGGAGGGCCTATGTGCCTGCAGACAGTGTCTGTCCAGGGCCTGCACCCCACCCCAGACAAAACGGGCTGCTGGGCAGGCTCCCCTAGAGCAGAGCCTGAGGGAGTCTGGCACTCACGGAGGGGCTTCTCCTTGAAGTAGGAGCTCTCCAGGCAGTCCCCAGCTGTGGCCCTAGAGAAAGGTGGCAGAGCCGTTAGTGGGGTCCTAGCCCTTGCTCAGCCTGTTTCCCTGACATCCCACCCAGCTGAGTTCAAAGTCCCCAAAGAGTGGGTGGCGGGGTAGGGGGGGAATGGGACCTCATGGCAGGCTCCACAACGTTGGTGGACAGAAGCCACTGGGGCTGGGTGCCTGGCCTGTGCCTGTACACACACGAGAACAGCCTTGGCAGCAGTGAGGCCTGTGTCCTGAGAAACTACCTTTGAAGGATTCAGGTTTAACATATCCTTCCACCCCTGTGTATACATAGGTCCAGGCCCTGCAGTCCTGAAGGGCCCGGCCCACAGAGCTGCAGGGGGGAGTCCGCACCTTTTCTTAGGATCGTACATGAAGAGGAAATTCACCAGGCGCAGCCCGGCCTCTGAGAGCCACGGGAACTTGTGCTTGAGGTTGTTGTAGGGCTGCTTCCTCAGGCTGTACTGGCCAACCAGCGGCAGCTTGGAAAAGCCCTAGAAGAAGCAGGCGCTGAGCCATGGGGGGAAGGCACAGGGAGGGGTGAGGGGCTGGCCCTGGACACCCACCGGCCAGATGTTCTCATTGGGCGTCCCCAGCAGCTGTACAATCAGGTCGATCTGGTGGATCTCAGAAGTGCCAGGGAGAAGGGGCTTGTGGGCCAGCAGCTCAGCCAGGATGCAGCCCACGGCCCTGCGGGGAGGAGTGGGCCTCGCTGTGGCCACAGACCCGTGCTGGGTCCAAAGTCACCATGGAGGGACAGGCAGGTGACCACGGGGTTCCTCAACCAGGCCCATGACCCCACCCTGGCAGGCTTCCTGTGGACCTTACTAAAGGCCTATGAATGCTGAAGCTGCCTTCTCATGTTCCTCTCGGGTTCCCAGCCCCACTCCCACCCCTGCCCTGGGGCCCCAGTGCAGGAAGCACATGACCCGGCTCCACCTCAGCCCTTCCCAGGCCCCAGGAGTGGCAGCCCGTGCTCACCACATGTCGATGCTGGTGGTCTGGGTGGTGGTTCCCAGCAGCAGTTCGGGAGCTCGGTACCTGAAAATGGAGCACCCCACCTCACACCACTAGCTCCTCCAGCCCAGGCCACCACAGGAGACAGCCTAACCCCAGCACCCTCTGCCCTTAGCCTGCACCCTGCTTACAGCTGCTGGTGGGGGCGAGCTACCATGTCCACAGTGTCCTGTATGTTACAAGAACCATGGAACCCTTAGCACAAGGCTATGCCCAGCCACTACCATCAGCCCGTTTTCAGATGGGGATTACACGACACACGGCAGAAAAAGGCTACATGGAGATCCTGACCTGGGTCTGAGCTACTTCCATGTCCTGCCCTTAACCACAACCCTGCTCCGCCTGTTCAAAAACATCAATGAGAGAGAACTACAGATGCTGCACAGGCTGCCCACCCTCCCATCTGTGAAACGACCCTTCCCAGGGTGGTTTCACAGCCATCTGGACAAGGCAGGTCCCTGATGCCACTGAGCGTGGCTGTCATCCCTTCCCCTGGGACAGCCCTGCTGTGTCCTGGGAAGCCATCCCAGACCCAGCTCTTCTGCATAGCTCCGCACCACGCATCCTGCTCCCCAGGGGCCCCACATTCCTGAAGGACTCACCAGAGGGTCACCACCTTGGGAGTCATTGGTTTTACTGGGATGCCGTAGGCCCGGGCCAGGCCAAAATCCGCTGCAGCAGAGAAGGGAGAGTGGAGTGTGTCACCCACTGAGGGCTAACAAGTCACCACCTAGGGACAGAGCCAGGCACAGGCACCCTGGGGCCACAAAGACAAGTCAGCTTCTGGCCTCTGGGTGTCTGTTAGGACCAACACCCCCGCCCCAGGCAAAGGTGGGGGGGTCACAGGACAACTCTATGCAGGTGAGGCCAGCACAAGGCACCCACCTGTCTTTACACAGCCCTTATCAGTCATGAGCAAGTTGGAGACTTTCAGGTCCCTGTGACAAGAAAGAGACATTGGTGACTTCCAAGAAGCAAGCGTGACAAGGGCAGACTGGCATCATATGACAGTCTCCTGCACTTTTCCTCACGTTTAGGCCTTTCGGAAGGGAGGGCAAACAGGCGACTGACAGCTGGGAAGCAGAAGCAGGGCCAGGCCTCAAGCTGAGGTCTCGCCTCCCATTCTGCCTGGGTCCCCAGCCAGATGTGGCATCAGCTGCCGCAGGGCCGGAGCCACTGCTCACCTGGTGTGAGTCCCCACTGCAAGTGAGCCCTGTCCCCGACACTCGCACCAACCACCATCAGTCTCTGAGTGGCCAGTGGGCACAAGGGCTTCTGTAACTTGTTTGGTCCTGGACCATTCCCTGTGGAGCAGTTAAAGAACTTCACTGCACATCTACTCCTCTCCTGCACGGCACTTGGAGTGACATGCTGGCACCGGACGCCAGGGACCACCCTCCCCAGTGTCACAGACTAGCACTGTCTCCACCAAGCCCTCTGCCCAAGACCATGCCCCAAGCCCTGCCCACCCACCTGTGGATGATGAAGTTCCTGTGCAGGTACTGAAGACCCCGGAGCACCTGCAGCACGATGCACTTAACCTGTGCAAAGGGCCTGGGGCGTCAGTCAGGGTGTGCCTTCGGGGAGCCCAGCCCACGCCTGTCACATCCAGTGGCAGCCAGGAGCCCGGCTGGAAAGGTGCTACTGTCCGTCCCCTCCTCAGTGACCCATCTGATGAGCAGGGCTGGCAGGGCTCCCAAGTCTCCCGTGGTGCCCGACAGGCAGTAAAATCCACCTCGTTAAAGCTGAGACGGAAGTGGAATGTTTGGTACGCGCATGTCCCACCCCAGGCCCCGCTACAAACCTGGGCCTCTGAGAAGGGCGTCGGCATGTTCTCTAGGAGGCTGGCCAGGTCCTGCTCGCAGTAACCCATCACCAAGAAGATGCTGGAAAGGGGAGACGAGTGCTACCTGCTGCCTGCCCCAAGTGGGCAGAGGGCCTCCACTGCTGCAGAAGGGGACCACCCACGGCAGGGACAGGTGGGGGGCTCAGCTGGGGCCTGATGCAGAGGCCAGGAGACTGCACACCTCTCCAGGTGGTTCCCCACGACCACCTCCTTCAGCTCCACGATGTTCGGATGGTGAAGACGAAGAAGCAGTGTGATCTCACGCAGGCTGCTGATGGGGATGCCTGTGGGGGGGGACAGCCTCAGCGAGCCCTGCCCACTGATGGGGATACCTGGAGGGACAGCCTCAGCGAGCCCCGCCCACTGATGGGGACAGCCTCAGCAAGTCCCGCCCACTGATGGGGGACAGCCCCAGCAAGCCCCACCCACTGATGGGGACAGCCTCTGCGAGCCCCGCCCACTGATGGGGACAGCCTCAGCAAGCCCCACCCACTGATGGGGACAGCCTCAGCAAGCCCCGCCCACTGATAGGGACAGCCTCCTCCAGCCCCGCCCACTGATGGGGACAGCCTCAGCAAGCCCTGCCCACTGATGGGGACACCTGGAGGGACATCCTCAGAGAGCCCCACCAACTGATGGGGACAACCTCAGCAAGCCCCGCCCACTGATGGGAACACCTGAAGGGACAGCCTCAGCAAGCCCCGCCCACTGATGGGAACACCTGAAGGGACAGCCTCAGCGAGCCCCGCCCACTGATGGGGAACCTATAGCCAAGTCGACCTCAGGCAGCCCCAGGCCATTCTCAGGCACCCTAAACCCTTGACACAAGGTGCTACAACTGTCCCCACTTTAGGGAGAATCAGGGCCATTGGAACAAGCACTCTTCATCAGATACAAATAGCCTCTCTGTGCCAACTGCTGTGTCACAGGCAGGTGCTGGGGGATGAGCAGGAGGTGGGGGGTGACAGCAGTGCTGAGACAATGAAGCAGAGTCACCAGACGGGAGGGAGGAAGATGAGGGGACGCAGACCCCTCCCAGCAGACAGTGGGGAGAAGCACGCAGGGCTTAGAGCCACGCCCAAACCCTCCCAGAGGCTGGACAACACCTTCCTGGCTGTGCTGCACACAGCGACATCAGCACCATGCAGCTCTCAGGAGGGTTCAGTCCCGAGGAAGCCGCAGGTAACTCACACCTTCCCCCCCCTCCTCACCATCCTTCTCCTTGTCCATCCGCACCTTCTTCAGCGCGACAATCTCATCTGTCTGGGTGTCCCGGGCCCGATCTGGAATGGAAACACATCCATCCCCCATCAGAGCTCCCTCTTACTGCCCTTCCTGGGCTCCCAGGACTCCCCTCCTCTTATCTGGCAACCTAATGCCCAGTGACACCCAGACCTCACTCTGTGCAAGCAAAACCCCTAGCCCAGGACACATGTTCGCTGGGGGTTTCTTCCTGTGAGATGGGTGGGGGTGCTGTTTTGCTCTGCTGAGTTGTGTGATACCAAGCTCTCAGTTCTTAGCATGCAGAACACTGTCTTGTAATAACGTCCTAACATTAAATAAGGTACTGTATCCAGAAAAAATAAATAGCCTTATTTTGTGTGACTATGGCTCCACAAAGCATTGTGATAATTTGTGCAGCTTCTGGAATAACACCCATTTTGCAGCTACTACATACAAGCTCCAGCTGCTTTTGGAAGTTCTACATTTTGTTTCTCTAACAGTTATCTCCACTCTGTGGTTACACATTTGGATTACTGACATTAGCAACCCGATGCTTATGTTTATCCAGAAAGGGTATAAAGTGTGTGGTCATTACACCAGGAACTAGAGTTCTTGAACAAGTTTCTGCCCTGGTTTGGAGCGCAGGGTCTGAGCCCCTTCCAGCCCCAGCGCAGGTGCTGCTATGACACCCCCGTCCTGTGTGACTTGTGGCTGCAGACCACAGCCGTGGGTACTCACACACGATGCCATAGGTGCCCTCCCCTATGCGGTTCAGCTTCTCAAACTCTTTCACACTCCGGCATCGTCCCAGCTGAAAGAGAATGGTGCCACCAGTGTTGGTATTTGGCAGCTAATGGGACAGCAGAGGATGGAAATTTCACACATAATTTGTACAAAGAAGCCTGCTCATGACTTGCTCACCAAACAGAAAAGCAACCACACACTTCGGCTTTTCTGATAATAAAAAGAGGTGATGGGCCAGGCGCAGTGGCTCATGCTTGTAATCCTAGCACTCTGGGAGGCCGAGGTGGGTGGATCATTTGAGCTCAGGAGTTCAAGACCAGCCCGAGCAAGAGCGAGACGCTGTCTCTATTAAAAATAGAAAAATTAATTGGCCAACTTAAAATATACAGAAAAAATTAGTTGGGCATGGTGGCACATGCCTGTAGTCCCAGCTACTTGGAGGCTGAGGCAGAAGGATTGCTTGAGCCCTGGAGTTTGAGGTTGCTGTGAGCTAGGCTGACGCCATGGCACTCTAGCTGGGGCAACGGAGTGAGACTCTGCCTTAAAAAAAAAGAGAGAGAGAAAAAAAGGGGGGGGGGTGATGATACTGGGCCAGCGTTTACCAAGAGTGGCCTAACCACTCACTTTCCCATGGTCCAGATGTCTGCTGTCCAGTAACAGTAACCACTAGCCATGTATGGGAACACTTCCATAGAAAAGACTGCTGTCCCCAACATCCATACGCCACTATTTCCTTTGAGTTATGAAACACTACCTAGTGGCATTCAGCCTTGGGATGTGAGAAGGGACCTATGTGACTTCCAGATGAAAGGCAGCTGGTTGCCACCTACTTCTTTGGCCTTGGAGGCAGCCTGAGATGTGGATGAAGTTCAGGGGGAGCATCAACACAGGTGGAACCTGAATGCCTGGCCCACCTTGTGGAAAACAGCTGCCTCTCTCTGGAATGTTAAGGGAGAGAGAGACAAGGCCCTACATGACCTGAGTCACTGAATTTTGGGGTCTCTCTCTGTCCTGGTACAGAGCCCGTACTTGACTACACTTTCTTAATGTGGTGCATTCACTTCTAGGTGAACTGAATGAGCTCTTCCTCTTACATCTAAAAAGTACATGCAAGCCAAGCGAGGTGGCTCATGCCTGTACTCCTAGCATTCTGGGAGGCCAAATTGGGAGGACTGTTTGAAGCCTGGAGTTCAAGACCAGCCTGAGCAAAACCCTGTCTCTACAAAAAATATAAAAATTAGCCAGGCGTCGTGGCACCCACCTACAGTCCCAGCTACTCAGGAGACTGAGGCAGGAGGATCACTGGAGCCAAGTACGAGGCTGCAGTGAGCTATGATGATGTCACCCCACTCCAGCCTGGGTGACAAAGCAAAAACCCCTGTCTCGAAAAATAAATACATAAAATTAAAAAAAAAACCCAAAAAAACAGAAAGTACATGCAGCAAGGTTCGAATTCTAACAGTTCACATCTGGCTTCCCTGCTTCCCTTAACAATTCTGCCCTAGGCCTTGTTACTTCTTGATACCTGGGGAACCATATCAGGATCATGTGGCCTGGCACCCTTCCATGATCTCCCCTTAGCCTTCTTTTCCCACCTTAATTCCCCTTCTCACATCCCCTCTCTCCTTGTGCTTCCTGTTTACCCTTTCTCTCCTCTGTGAGGCTGCTGCTCCAAGCCTGGCATGCTACTCCTTCTCATCTCCAGCCACCCAAATACTACACACATTTCGTGGCCCCAAAGAAATGCCACCCATTCTACTAAGATCGTCCTTCCCCCCAGCTGAAAACAATCCCTTTCTCTAAAATCCCTGACACTTTATGTCTTAAGGCACCTACCACTGTGCACTTTGCATTGTCCTTGGCTGGCTGTCTTAGCTCCCTGTGACAGATCTCCACCTCCCTGCTTTAGTCTCAGTGTCCAACACAGCGCTCTTAACTCAGCAAGCACCTACTGCACGTCCGAATGATGTGCAATGACCATCACAGGACTGAAGTGTGGCCCCCGTTACTCGTACGCCACAACCTGTTACTGAGTCTGACTGGACCCGTGACTCGGCCTATCAGAGCATCAGCAAACAGTTAAAACACAATGCAGCTTCCAGAACTCACACCTCTGTCCCTCCACCACCTGTCTAGCTCGGTAAAACCCACTCAACGACCCGAAGAGTCACCTCGGCAAAGGGTCGCCAAGGGGAATACGAGGCAGCACAAGCGCAGAGGCCTCGCACTGGGGCGCTATGAATGCTGCCGGGTCCCAGCGGGGCCGCGTCTGACCCAGTCTCAGCCCGGCGGGAGGCTCCCAGCCTCCACCTCTTCCGACGGGTACATTCTCCCCCAACACAAAGTGCAAAACTCAAAAGTGCTCGAGGCGGAGCCCGGAACCTGCCCTTCTCAGGGAGGCGGGAGTCTCCAGAGCAGGCCAGGGCTGCCCAGACGGCTTCCGCCCCTGCCGCGGGGAACCTTGGAACTGTCGTCCCGCGTGCCGGAAACCACGGCGCCGCAGCGCGACACCGAGTCCCAGCGTGCCGCCGCCTGGCCCCGCGGCCGGCGAGGCGGCACGGTTGCCCGAGTGGCACCCCGTCTCACCCTGTGTTCTGGAGGCACCACGAAGAAGCCTTCCTTGCGGATACACTTCAGACGGATCTGCTCCGACTCTGGTTCTGGCTCCGCCATGCCGAACGCCACCTCGCCCCGCCCCCTTCGCCGTTTCCCATGTGCGCAGGCGCATAACCTACTTCCGGAGGTGTCCTCTCCTTAGCAACGGTTACCAAGAGAACCTCTCGAGAACCGCCCCCTCCCCAGGACCTCGGCCCCTAGGATCCCGCATTCACCGTGGTTCGGGCCTTTTTTGAGCGTTAAGCCCGGGTACCTGCCCGCAGGACAGGCAGAGGACAAGGCCGGAGGGGGAGGCTACTGCGACCACCCAAGCGAGGGGTCCTCCAGGTGAGGGGCGGGGTCTGTGCGCCAGATACGGACGGGTGAGAGCTGCCTTTTGCCGAATCCAAATTTTACAGAATAAAGGGATTTGTCTGGATGCAGTGGAGGGCTGCACGTGGCCTTGAGGCTGCAGGTTCCTCACCCTGTTATTTTATTGACTGATTGACAGAGTCTTGCTCTGTTGCCTGTGCTAGAGCACAGTGGCGTGATCATAGCTCATTGCAACCTCAACTGCTGGGCACAAGCAATACTCCTGCCTCAGCCTCTTGAGTAGCTAGCACTACCAGGCCCAGCTATTTTTTTTTTTTTTTTTAGATATAGAGTTTTGCTATATTGGCCAGGCTGGTCTTGAACTCCTGACCTCAAGTAGTCCTCCCAGCTGGGCCTCCCAAAGTGCTGGGATTACAGTAGTGAGCCATTCAGGAGATACTTAAATTACAAATGTCAATTCCAGCAAATCAGTAACAATGGCAGTGCTTTAAACTCTTCCAAGAGCCAGCTGTAAGTGAGAGCTGTGCTTCCAGTGGTGCTGGGGAGCAGGAGCCAATCCCTGGAAGCAGCCTCCGTGGTAGTCGTGTGGTGCCTGAGTGCCTAACGCCAGCCTCACCCCCATCTCCACCCAGGGACCGGAGCCTTGTGCAGGAAGGGAGACACTGTCATTCACAAGGAAGTACGGGGTTGCATTTCCTGTTCTCCTGCCACTCTCACATTTGTCTTTGCAGGTTGGGGAGAGCTGCTTGGCTCTGGAGCCATCTAGGAGGACAGAGAGGGAAATGCACTGGCCACTGCTGGAGAGCAAGTGAGGCGGCACAGGAGGCCCTGAGGGATGGCACTCAGCTGTTCTGTGTGGCGTGTGATGCCATGTAGAACACCACTTACCTCTGATCCCTCGTGGAGGTTTTCTTGCAAGGGTTGGAAGGCTGAGCTCTAGGTACCCAGGAGCATAGGCCCCTCTGGGCTCCAGAAACGTAGGTTAATGCAAACCAGGACTTCGGTAGCAAGTCTTCAACATTTTAAAAAAATTAGCCAGGTATAATGGATCATGTCTGTAATCCCAGCTACTTGGGAGGCTGAGGAAGGAAGATTGCTTAAGGCCAGGCTTTCAAGACCAGCCTGGGCAACATAGCAAGACCCTGTCTCAAAAGAAAAAAAGGAGAAAAAAACATTTAAAAATTAGGTATCTTCTGGCAGATTGGTTTCCCTCCCCCAGGGAACTTTAAAATACATTTATGCGAAACAGTCTTTAAAAAAATGTGTCGTCATGCTATACTTTTTGATTTTGGAATTCATTTTTCAGTCATTATTTAGGTTGCATATGTACATATGTAGCACTATATATACGTATGTATGTGCTAGATTGGGCTGTGTGTATACACGCATGTGCATATGTACTAGAGAGGCCTGCATTAGAAACTGTGTATGTGTGTGACAGCAGCAGCCCTCTCACCCTGGCAACTAAGGATGTGTCCATGATTCTGGTGGACGTGCTACTATCCCCTGGTTCTGTTAGTCCACCTGGGCCAGCATATCTTGGAGACCATGTATAAAGCCTGCCAACCAGTCTAGAAAATAACAAAGCTAGCACATTGTCACTAAATACGTGAGACCAGACAGGGCACGGCATTCAAGGCAACACTGGAAGACAGGCAAGCCTGACCTGAAGGTAGAGTCAGCTGAGAAGCTGTGTTGGCAGCATTGTGCTTCGGTCCCTTGAATGGCCCTACCTGTCAAGAGTCCTCATCCACGGGCCAGAAAGACATGGCAGTGCTGACAAGGCCACTTGCAAAGCCTCGGTGCCCCATATCCCCAGGACACAAAGCATGTTCTTCTTCTGGGCCTTTCAGTACACTGGGTCAGACTGCAGTCAAGCTAGGAGCCCTTGGGCCTGTTAGGTAACTTTGCACCTCTCTGTTTTGAGAACATTACACCTTAAAGTTTAGCCCTCAAAAATCTGACTTTCTCCCCATCTCATAACTTCCAAGTACTTGCAGCCTATTCTTTCAATGGAAAGGATTTTAACTGTCCATTGTGAATCGGAGCATGAGGTGCCACCTGCTGTCCATTCATCATCCTGCTCAGCTAGCCACTTGCAACAGGAAAATACTAGTTTATTCATTTATTACCACAAAGTTCACTCCCTGAGCCAGTCACTCGTGCCTGCACCAAGCTGCCAGCAGCTCTGGGGAAGGTAACACCAAGGTGGTTCGGGGGCAAGCCTTGTGGACGGAAGAAGGGCACCTGCAGCTTCCTGAAGGTGGGCTGGCCCTTCTGCCACTGCTGCGAGACTGGTATCACAGTGAGTAATGACAGCGGCTGGGGCACTTGTTTATTGTTTGGTGCGTGCATTGTAGGCGTCTACTGTGCTGGGGTTCCGGTGCCGGTGGTAGAGGCCCCAGGTGGTGTGCTCCCGGATGGTCCTCTGCTCTTCACTCCCGCTGGAGCCGAAGCTGCTCAGAGTCTCGTTCGAGGCTCGAGTGATGATGATCTGTGGAATGATACTTTTCTTCCTGGTGGACTTCTGCTTCGCGTCAGGTTTCTCTAGAAGAAAGAAACATCCAGACACTCATTAGGCACATGGAACGCTGCTTTCACATTGCGGATAATGCCTGTCAGAGTAAAGGAATTGCATTCATGGTTAGCAGGAAAATAAATGGGCTAGGCCAAAAGGGATCAAAAACTGTCCAGGAACATGTCAGAGCTTCAGTGGATCTGTAACTCAGCCACGAGGGTTGGGAATACTAGACGCCCTCCTTCAAGGAAGGAAACAAAAGGGCTTCCACAATCCCCGGCGGAAAGGCTGCACCGCAGGATGGGTTGGGTTCACGGTGACAGAAACAGGAGGGAGAGGGGTCACATGTCCAGGCAGGGGCTGCGTCAGAGATTAAGGCTCATAAATGGGCCGGGCATGGTGGCTCACGCCTGTAATCCTAGCACTCTGGGAGGCCGAAGCGGGCGGATTGCTCGAGGTCAGGAGTTCAAAACCAGCCTGAGCAAGAGCGAGACCCCGTCTCTACTATAAATAGAAAGAAATTAATTGGCCAACTAATATATATACAAAAAATTAGCCGGGCGCGGTGGCGCCGGCCTGTAGTCCCAGCTCCTCGGGAGGCTGAGGCAGCAGGATTGCTTGAGCCCAGGAGTTTGAGGTTGCTGTGAGCTAGGCTGATGCCATGGCACTCGCTCAAGCCTGGGCAACAAAGGGAGACTCTGTCTCAAAAAAAAAAAAAAAAAAAAAAGATTACAGGCATGAGCCACTTCACCTGGCCAGAAATCAGATTAATATTTACATTCATTGTTTTTCTATTTACTTTTTTTTTTTTTGAGACAGAGTCTCGCTTTGTTGCCCAGGCTTGAGCGAGTGCCATGGCATCAGCCTAGCTCACAGCAACCTCAAACTCCTGGGCTCAAGCGATCTTCCTGCTTCAGCCTCAGAGTAGCTGGACTACAGGCATGCGCCACCATGCCTGGCTAATTTTTTCTATAATAATATCAGTGGCATAATTTCTTTCTATTTATAGTGGAGACGGGGTCTCGCTCTTGCTCAGGCTGGTTTCGAACTCCTGACTTTGAACAACCCAACTGCCTTGGCCTCTCAGTGCTAGGATTGCAGGTGTGAGCTACCACACCCGGCCTTGGGACTTATTCTTATCCCTATTCCTTTTTCTTTTTTTAATATTTAGTTAACCTAAAGTGAAATTCTATACACATGTAACCTTATTTGGTTGTTGGGTATTATATGCAGCACATTGTGCTAAAAATATGAAACAGTTAAGACTTTCAGCCAGTACTGAAAATAAACATGTAGAAACTAAGCAACAAGTTAAAATGCAGTAATGCACAACTCAGTGATGTTAAGTTTTCCACATGGAGCAACAATGTAGATTATCTGAATAATTTAAGGAGTTGCAATTGGGCCCTCTTCATAATTCTCAGCAATCTACCCAGGAAAATAAATTCTGGTCAAAGCTGAACAATTTCATTCCAGTCTCAAAGTGATTATATTGATAGACAAGGAAGCAGGAAAGGAGGGGAGAGAGGACAGAGGGAAAGAGGTCAGAGGGAGGAGGAGGAAAGAAGGAAGGGAGAGGAGGAGGGAGAGATGCAATTCTCTTGTCCCTATTTCATATTTCATCTATTCTTATACTGGAACTATATTTTGATTATTATTAAAACTTTTGATACATTGAACAATTTTTATTTTTAAAATAACTGTAAGTTCACAGAAAGTTGCACAAGTACTGCAGAGAGGTCCCATGCACCCTCCACCAGTTTTCCCGATGGTAACATAGCCATAGAACAGTATCTGCACAAGGACTCACATTGGTACACGCGTGTGTACGGATCTATGCCACTTAATCACATGTAACCACCACCACCATAGTGACAGCCATTTCCCTCCTGCTGTCCCTTTATAGACATACCTGGTCTCTGAACACACCCATCCCAAACCCCACCAGCCTGTTCTCTGTCTCTGTGGTTTTGTCACTTGGAGAATGTCACACAAATGGAATCAAAAGCATGGGGCCTTGTGAGAGACTGGCTTTTGCCACTCAGCTTGATATTTTTTAACAGCTGATGGAAATGTTCCTTATGTTTCTCTTCTTTTTCAAAATTTTCTTGCAATTAAGTATACTCTAACTTCATAAAAAACATGATGAAAATATTCAAACACACATGGATATACAATAGTATCAGTGCCTGTATGTGTATCACCAAGCTTCAATCAATATTCTGCCCCCTTGTCTTGCCTATCTTCCTCTTTTTTTTTCTGAATATTTTCAAGCAAATGTCAGACATATAATTTCACCCATAAATGTTGCAGTGTATCTCCATATCAGTTAAGGATTTTATTTTAGCATAACTATAATAGCTTTGCTATATCTAAGAAAATTAACACTGACTCATCCAGTGCCCAAACTATATTCAGCTCAAGATCTCATGTTTCTTTATAACAATCCTCTTTTTTCTTTTCTTTCTTTTTTTTTTGGACATAGGCTCTTACTTTGTTGCCTGGGTATGAGGGCCAAGGGCACTGGTGTGATCACAGCTCACTGCAACCTCAAACTCCTGGTCTCAAGAGATCCTCCTGCCTCTGTCTCTGTAGTAGCTGGGACTGCAGGTGTGTACCACCACACTGGCTAATTTTTCTATTTTTTGTAGAGACTGGGTCTCACTACTTTGCTCAGGCTGGTCTTGAACTCCTGGGCTCAAGTGATCCTCCTGCCTCAACTTCTCAAAGTGCTGGGATTACAGGCCTGAGCCACTGCACCTAGCCTCAGTTATCACTTCTTATTTCCCAGGCAATTGCAGTCAGATATCATCTGGAGCCTGAGTCATTTATTGGATGTCCATGGTGGCACAATCGGGGTTGGTCACTGCTGCCGCTGCTGTGTGCTACATGCTGTCCACGCTGGAAGGGCCTGGGATCATCCGATGGCTTGTTCACTCAAGTCTGGCACCTGGGCTGGAAGGGCTCGGGCATCAGTTTTGCTAACTGCAGTGGCTCTGAGTGGCCTCCCCAGGTTCAGAGTTGGGCAGCCCCTGATGCAGTTTCTGTCACCCCAGAAAGGCACTTTGTGCTCAGTTGTGGCCAGATGCCATTCCCACCCTTAGCCCCAGGCAACCACTCATCTGCTTCTGTGCATAAACTTGCCTTTCTGGACGTTTAGTACAAGGGAACCATTGTCTGTGGTCTTTACATCTGTTTTCCTTCACTAGTCCCATGCTTTGGGGGCTTCCTTCACAGCGCAGTGTGTGTCAGCAACTTGTTCCTTGTCATTGCTGAGGATGTTCCGTCACATGGAGAAAGTCCACCCCTGGTCGTTCTTGAAGCTCCACCATCCCTTTTGCTCTCTGACCTGCTGTGTTTTCCCTTCACCTCCATCTTCCCACCCCATGAATGAAGATGGCATAGCAGACACTGCTGGGGCCTGTCCAGCAGGCAGTTCCCCTGCGGCAGAGGCCCTGCCCCTCCACTGCTTCACGGCCTCTTCCAGTCCCTGGTCAATTTCCCAGGTTGAGCCCACCCTACAGAGGATAGGCAGGCAAAGGAAACTGGGAAAGGTTGCATTGCCAACATAAAGCAAGGAGAAATGCAAGTCCTGTCTGCATATGCTACCTGGAGCTGTACCGCTATCTGGGGGCCATGGGGTTATACGTCCCTGACGCTGAGGGTGGCAAAGCAGAAACATGCCAAGGCCTGATGTCATAGCCATGCTGCTCAGCAGACCACCCTGAAGCCCTGCCTCTGGCTCTTCGTTTATGAGATGTTAAATCCCACGGTGTGAAGGCTACGTTTAGTTGGCTTTTCTCTAACTTTGAGCTAAAAGCATCTTGACAGGTAGCGTTTTCCAAACCTCTCCCCTAAGACTAGGACCCTTCCAGCAGCCTTCTACTTGTGAGGAGTTCCCAAGTTGGGATTTCAAGTCCAGATCTTTCTCCCAAGACCAACACCCAAATTTCAAATATGTCCCATGGCCGGGCACGGCGGCTCATGCCTATAGTCCTAGCACTCTGGAAGACCAAAGTGGGAGAATTGCTTGAGGTCTGGAGTCCAAGACCAGCCTCAAGCGAAAGCAAGACGCTGTCTCTACTAAAAGTAGAAAAATTAGCCGGGTGTGGTGGTACGCACCGGTGGTCCCAGCACTGAGGCAGGAGGATCACTTGAGCCCGGGAGTTGGAGGTTGCTGTGAGCTATGATGACACCACTGCACTCCAGCCAGGGCCACAGTGCAAGAGTCCTCTGTCCTAGCCATGTCACTCCTCCTCCCTCTGAAGGCTCATTCTCATCACTACTGAAATCCCTCCTGGCTCACCACCCCCTCCATCTCATCAGACAGTGGGTTCTGCTGGGTCCACCTCCTGGATCCTTCTAGAATTCCTATTGCCACTGCTCACTGATTCCCACGGATCACAGCAATGGGATGTGCTAGGTCTCCTCCCTCGGGCTCCTGGCTTCTCCTGCCAGCCTCTATTCTGTGACTAGAAAGACATTTCCAAGGCACAGACCTCATCAACCTTCCTTGTTTTATCTTTACATTTTTAATTTCTATTAGAGATGGGATTTTGTTATGCTGCCCAGGCTGGCCTCAGACTCCTGGGCTGAAGTGATCCTTCTGCCTAAGCCTCCTGAGCTGGGAGTACAGGTGTGCACCTCCTTGTTGTAAATATTTAACAGTTCCGTCTCCACAACCCACATGATAAAAACTGATGAGAGACTTTGTCTTCTGGCTTTTACCTGCTTTTGTGGCTTCATCTTGCCCACACACCAAAAGGTCTGGTCACACTAGGCTGTTAGGAAGTTAGTCAGTTTGCCAAACTGTTTAACTCCTTTGTCCCACCCTGTCCTACCCGCTCCTCAGTCACCCTCCTCACTGTGCCAGGCAGAGTGGTCCACAGCTCCACTCCAGCCCCAGGCAGCCTCCTGAGGTTCTATTCCAGTCTGTGGGATGTTGAAGGAATCACAGTGGTACCAAGATACCCAGCCCTCCCGGATACCTTGGCTGAGAAAGGTAGCTGTACTCCACCACATCCCCCTGGACTGTGTGTGTTATGCATTCATCACGTGGAAACTTGCCTAAACTTTTACTGAACTTGTATTTTCCACAAGAATTCTAGGTGGTTACCTCCCACGCAAAGGTCCTCAAACAAACCCCTTTCATCACTGGGGCATGTGCCTGCTCTCAGGAGTAGGCTCCTGCCTCCCCCATCCCCAGACTCCGTGGAGGTGCAGACTCGGATTCCGTCCTCCCCGCCCCCGGAGTCTCCTACCTTTGCTCGAAGCTGAAGGCTGCTGCTGGTGCTTGGCTGTGTCTGCCCCGGAACGGAGGTCTGCAGGTTTCTCACCCTCCCTTTCTGCCTGCTTGGCTTCCTGGGGATGCTTCTCCGCCAACTTTTCCTTAGGTCTTGGAGATGAACTAGTGACTTCCTTCTTTTCCTCCTCACCTGAAATACACGGGGTAACCAGGCCTGTAACTTACTGAGTCTCTAGGGCACCGAGTCCTACAGTTCTTGGGCTGCCTGCTTTGGTCCAGAGTAAAATAAGATAGCTTGGAGACACTCCATCTGCCGGCCACTTTGGGTGGACTTAAGATTCTTAAGTCACTGTCATCAGGCAGGACTTGGAGCAGCAGGAACGACGCGCGGGGCACGGGGCAGGTGGGCCCGCGTTACCTTTCCTGGGTGTGTGTCTGCTTTTGGAAATCCCCATAGGTGAGCCCACCGCCCCCGCCGGCGCAGGCCGGGCTCCCTGCACCTCCGCGAGTGACTCACAAACGGGGCCGTCGCCGGCGGCCGCGGGTCGCCATGGCAACGCCGCCCTCCGCGCCGGCCTCTCCACGGCGTCCCCGCCCCGCAGGGCCAGCCGCCGTACTCTCGCGAGAGCGGGCCACGCGACCGGAAGTGGGCGGGGACCCCGGAAGGCCCAGTCGTCGGGCGGAGCTGGTCCGTTCGGTCGCGGCTGGGATCTGTCGTCGGCCGAGTTTGCGTCCCCTCTGCCTCTTCCAGAGGCGCTGCCGCCGGCCCGGCCATGGACGGTAAGAGGCCGCCGCCGCCCTCTGGGAGCGCGCGGGGCCGCCGTGCCCACCGGCGCGGGTTCCGCCCACCGGGCCGAGGGCGGGGCTCCGGCGGAGCTCCCGGGCCTGGACCCTCGATCGTGACCTCGGAGCCGGGACCCCTTCTCCGGGTACCTCGACCCCTGACCCAGGACCTTTTAACGTGGGCCTCGACCCCAGGTCTCCCCCGCTCCCAGCCCTCCTCGGGGTCTTGCCGCCTTTACCCGGGAGATCCAGTCCCGGGGACGGACTGCGATGCCTGCTGCTGCCTTTGGGCCCCGGAGTGTCGGGTCAGAGGGCACCAGGAAAGGTGGCACTTGCTATCCCTACCCCTAGAACAGCAAGCACCAGGGGAAATAGGAAGAGCTCGGAGGAAAAGTGCTCACTGAGCCCCAGGCAGGTTGCAAGCGGCCTAACTCGCCCTAGCTCTCGGAAGATAGACTGTACTGGGTGGGGAGACAGGTTGGCAGGGAGACTGGCAGGACCAACGCCCCAACAGGTGACTCCCTAGCCCTGACCTCTCCCCTTCAAGGCCGCTCTGTGCTCAGGGTCACCAAAGCACAGGAACAGTCTACTAAATGAAGGTGCCTGTGTTTGCGGAAATGATTATGGACTGACGTGAGAGGCTGGTAAAAATACGTTTTGAAGTGTAAAAAGCTATAGCACAACCACCACGTCGTTGTCATGGAGGAAATGTGTAGAGGTTTTTCTGCAGATTGCTTCAGAGAGAACATGAAAGATAGCACCTAATTCCTTCCCTACCCTAAAAAGTTGGCTTTTGCTCCATGGCTCCCTCAGCATTTTTGAGGGAACTTTTCTTAAGCCGATATCAGTTTTCTCCAGGGTTAATTTTTACCTTAACGAGCTTTCTGTTATCCAGAGTCTAGTTCTACCACACACATCTAGGTGGGAGAGGTGAGGCTTCCGGGGAGGGTGATTTGGCCAGTATCACACAAGTCGGATGGGCTGGGCCTCACTAGGCCAGCACTGTTTTGCCTAAACCCTCTGTCTGGTTAGCTGTTTTCCAAAGTCACAGATGACTTTGGCCTTGGCCAGCACCTGTGCTGATAGACGGTAGGTTGACAGATGCACGGAGCACATTTGAAACTGGGTAGGTGTCAGCTAGGAACCTCAGTTTGCATTTGTGAACACTCAGGACCCTCATTCAGTTACAGGTTTCATTTCCTCGTTTTGGGTTAGTGTGGTAACCCCTTTTAGGAATCGGGTGTCACCGTCACTCTCCAAATTTAGAAATTGAATAAATTGACATCAGCCCAAAGTACCTACCTGGCTCTGCAGTTTTGGCGAGTGAGTAGCAAATGTGGATATCAGGAGATTCGCTCACTAAATGCACATCAGTCTCCTCAGTTGCTGAGTGTGGGCAGGGAAGGTCCCTGAGCCCGATTTGACAGCTCTGAAATGGCTGCTTCTGTGGAATCTGCTCTTTGATGGCATAAGAGTTATCACCTTGCTGTTTATATCCATTTACCTTTGAGCAGAAAGAGTACATAAAAAAGAGACTGCGGGCCGGGCGTGGTGGCTCATGCCTGTAATCCTAGCATTCTGGGAGGCCGAGGCGGGAAGATCCCTTGAGGTGAGAAGTTCAAGACCAGCTTCAGCAAGAGTGAGACCTTGTCTCTACTAAAAACAGAAAAATTATCCAGGAGTGCTAGTGCACACCTGTAGTCCCAGCTACTCGGGAGGCTGAGGCAGGAGGATCACTGGAGCCCAGGAGTTTCAGGTTGATGCAAGCTGTGATGACATCACAGCACTCTAGCCTGGGCAACAGAGTGAGCCAAAAATATCTCTTGAGTTGTCACCACAGCCAAGTGCTGCATCCATCACTTGATCTGTTCTCACAGTAACCCTTTGAGCTTGGCTGCTGCCATCCTCATGTTCCCAACAGGGAGGCAGGTTTTGGGAGGGTCTGCGTGTGCCGGAGCCCGTGGCTAGCAGAGACCAGAGCTGGCACGCTGGTCTGTCTTCTGATCCACTGTCAGAGGCCTCCCTGAAGGCGCCAGGCAAACACGATTACTGTCTGCGTTCTGTTCCTACTGTCTAGGAGGATCTTAGTAAGCCCACCTCCTTATTAGAAGTGTTACTTATCTCGTCTCTTAAAATCCTCAAACCATTTCCTCTTCCTTTGCAGATACCCTGTTCCAGTTGAAGGTATGTACTAAACAACCGTTCAGCCCAACCTTGCCCTGGTAGTTAGCGAATGAGGAGAGATAGTGTAAGTCACTCAGAGCCCCAGAAACAAAGTCAGGGGACAGATTATAACAGAGGAGTGATTGCCACACAGTGCTCAGCCTGCTGACCAAAGAGGGGATTATTGAGTTGGCTTGATGGCATATTAATTCCTTATCTCAGGCACTGAGGCTCATTCATGAAAGACTGACTGTATTATCTTTCAGAAACACAACTTGGGTGTTATGTGCATGCCTTGATGTTCCGCTAGGCGTTTAAAACCCAAATGTGGCCTCACATCCTTTAAGAATCCATTTGAAGAAGAGCTTTCTAGACAGCAGAGTATTCCTCTTATCTGGAGTGCTCTTTGTACCTTCCAGTAATCCAGGGCGTGTTTCTGAACATTCCCCTTAAGTGCTGTCTTGGTTGATCGTCTGTATTAGCTTTGTCTTGTTTTGTCACTAGTTCTGAGATACTGAGCAGAAGTGATGTGCACAAGCTACTGAATGTAGTTTTAGGATATTCTCATGTCACACTGCGGCTCTGCAAGATGTTTCTGAGGACAGGAGGGACCGATGGGAAGGTGCCTGCAAGGGACAGCATCTGTGGACGGGACCCAGGGCTGAGGCTGTCTCAGGGCATCACAGGAGGTGGCAGCTGGGGCCCTTGTCTCTGGTTCCAGGCTGGGGTTGCCAGAGGTCCTGTGCATACGTGAACACCCTTTCTTTTTGGTGTTGGCAGAGCGGTTAGGCACCCAGAAGCCTCATGTGCTGCCCAGCAACCTGTTGCACGCGCAGTTTGCTGTGAAGATGATACTTGCGGGTGTACTTTTAGTCTCATTCTGTGTTATTCCTTGGGGGTAACCTGGAACAGGTTTTCTTGAGCCTTTTTTCCATCCATAAGCAGGAGCGGAGAGATCAGTGTGAGTTACCTTTTTACCCTTCTGCTCTGGAGGAGGGGCTGGATTAGGATTTTCGAGAAGACAGACATTTTAGAACAGCCCCCTTTTCTCAGACAGAGCTTGAGACAGAGGGGGTACCCCCTTCCTTGAGCCGGTTCCACCTCTCGCAGCTGGGGTGGCAGTGAGCATGTGCACTGCAGGCTTCGCGCCTCCTGCCAAGGGCTGGGCCGGGCTGGTTGGCGAGTATGTAGGAGCCATCTTGGGCCCAGGGTGGGCTCTGGGGAGTGGGGCCTGGGGCGAGGGGCTCTGCACGTCTGACTCAGATGTCCCCTTTCTACTCAGTTCACAGCGAAGCAGCTGGAGAAACTGGCCAAGAAGGCAGAGAAGGACTCCAAGGCTGAGCAGGCCAAAGTGAAGAAGGTGAGGGCTATGGGGGCAGGGTCTCCATGCTCATGGCTTCTCTGGGTCTATGTTCTGTTGTTTTCTACCTTTATTTTTGTTTTCTGTGTGTTTTTAAGTCTTTGCATGTGTGCATGCAAAAGAAGGTGCTTTATACATCATGATCTAATTCTCACTGTGACTTCTAGCTTTAAAACATTTTCTCACAGGAGACTAGCAAGCTTGAGGGAAGGGAGGTGCCAGGTGTGGTGGGGCCTGGAATGGCTGCAGCTGCTGCCCCCATGTCCCCTCCCAGCTCACCGAGGGTGTCCAGAGCAGACAGATGAGCGTGTTGCCTTTGTTCTTTAGCTGTCCATTCTTTATTCGCTTCTGATGTTGTGAACTTGTTTTTACCATCAGTTGTGCGGGAAGTGGGCTTCCAGCTGCCAGCCACGGTCCTGTTTTGAGCTCTCTCTCCTCTGTGGAGCTGGTGCCTTGGGCATCAGAATCCGGGCAGCAGCCTGGGGGCCCATCCACGGGCTGGAGGCTCACTTGGGGGCTTCCCAGGACGGGGCCGCTGCCTCCTGGAGGCCAGGGCAGGATGAAGAGGGGAATCTGACTGCTTTTGGTGGAGACCGTCAGCCAAATCTTGTACAGTTCTTAACACTTTGCCTAACAGGTGACCTGGGTGCTGGGGTATTGGATTTTGGTAATTCCACCCCAAACTCAGGGCAGACTGGGACCAGAGAGTAGTTCTGTAGACTGTATCTAGCACTTTGTGCCTTTTCCGTCGTAGTTGTGCCCCCCCCCCCACATCCCCAGGACGCTGAGCATCATGTACGTGTGCTGAGCTCCTGGGCAGTGCTGGTGTGATTGGGGCCTGGGACATCGGTGGGAGCAGAGCCCCCTTCCCAGGCTGGTGCCGTTGCTCCATCCCAGACTCAAGTGCTCCCAGGCAGGCTCAGGGCCTGGGCATCTGCATCTGCATGAAGCTCAGGCCCTTCTGATGAGCTCGCCCGGAAAGGGTTGTGCAGGCCCCAGCCGGGGTAGCACATGGTCAGCACCAGTTTCCTGGCTGGGGACACGCAAACCACCGAGTTCTCCCGGCTGTCATTTCCCCCCGAATTTTAGGCCCTTCAGCAGAAAAACGTGGAGTGTGCCCGCGTGTACGCCGAGAATGCCATCCGCAAGAAGAACGAAGGCGTGAACTGGCTCCGCATGGCGTCCCGCGTGGATGCAGTGGCCTCCAAGGTGCAGACGGCCGTGACCATGAAAGGGGTGAGTGCCGGCTCGGTGCCCTGTGGGCTGCAGCAGGGACGGGGTCTGTGGGTCGGATCCGGGGCGGCTCCTGGAGCTGTGAGAAGATGGACCACCTTAGAGCTGTGGCCATGGACATGCTGGCTCGGACACAGGTGAGGCCGGCCCTGGGGCCACACCAGCCTTACCAGAAGGACCACGTGGTGGGCCTCGGGCCTCCAGCGCCACACACGGCGTGGAGCCTGCGTGGCCTCCTGGCTGGGGTGGGGGAAGTCACGTCTGAGGCTTCGGTTCTGTCCTGGGGATTCCTTCCAAACGGGGACCAGAGGAGGAAGCCAGTGCTGAAGACCTGCTGTGTCACCCCCTTGCTCGAGTGGCCCAAGTGCTGGTGCTGCTTGTCTTGTCCATTCAGTTGGCAGCATTTCCCGAGGACCTGCAGTGGCGGCTCAGCCCAGACCTACGTTGTATTGTTGGAGTGAGGGGCCCCAGCTCTCCCGTCAGAGAGTTCAGGGGACTCATGCTTCTCCCTCCCCCAACCCTCTCCTGTCCCAGGTGACCAAGAACATGGCACAAGTGACCAAAGCCTTGGATAAGGCCCTTAGCACCATGGACCTGCAGAAGGTCTCTGCGGTGATGGACAGATTTGAGCAGCAGGTGCAGAACCTGGACGTGCACACGTCGGTACGTGGTCTGGGGACACGGGAGGGCACACCAGCAGCACGGCAGGAGGGGTGGCTTGTAGACTGGCCTGCCATCTGCGCGCATGTGTTTGCGCCCAGTGTCACCAAGTATCCTGTGTGCTGGGTCCCCACCAAGAACTCAAGAGGGAGGGGTGGGCAGGGCAGAGGACTTCCTCCAGTGCACCCGCTCTTTCTGGGGAGTCTCAAATGGTAATGAGCATGTGGAGGTATAGAAAAGTGCCCACCTGAAGCAGGTAGACATGGGAGTAGGGCTGGGCACGTGGCAAGCAGGTTCCCGGTGGAGGATGAGGAGCTAGAGGAAGTTCTTTGAGAGGACAGGCTGAGAAGGTGGCTGCTGTGGGGGAAGAGTTAGCGAGACACGCAGTCGACCCTCATGAAGCTGTCTGTGGGGCCCTGTGGGCTGGGCCCCACCTGTGCCCAGACATGCCCCTCTCTCCCAGGTGATGGAAGACTCCATGAGCTCAGCCACCACGCTGACCACGCCCCAGGAGCAGGTGGACAGCCTCATCGTGCAGATCGCGGAGGAGAACGGCCTGGAGGTCCTGGACCAGCTCAGCCAGCTGCCCGAGGGCGCCTCCGCTGTGGGCGAGAGCTCCGTGCGCAGCCAGGAGGACCAGCTGTCTCGGAGGTGGGGTTGGCGCCCCCGAAATGCTGTGCCCTGAGCCCCTTGCACCTGTGCTAGGAAGGGAGGCGGAGGAGCGGTGGGTCAGAGGCTGCTCAGGCACAGCTCGAGCTCCGGCCTTGCAGGGAGCAGGGTCTCGATGCGGAACCCCCGCAGCTGTTCCGCCTGTCCCGCTCACCAGGCTGTCAGGAGGGCGGGCCCCGTCCTGTGTCTCCAGGCCTGCCGCACGCCAGCTCTCAGGGAGGGCCTCGGTGTGCGTTAGGTGTGGCGTTTACACACGCAGCCTGCCATAGAAAGGGAGACCTTTGCCCATCCTGGCGTCAGGAATAAGCGTGGAACAGCGTGTGGCTATTTCCAGGGTCTGTCCCTCGCGTGGTCTCAGGACGACCTTAGAAAGCTGGAGCAGAGGAGGGTGTCCCTGCACCCAGATGGAGCAGGGGCCCCTGCCACTCTCACCTGAGTCCTGCTGTTGGTTCCAGGTTGGCTGCCTTGAGGAATTAGCCGCCCCGCCGTGTGCACCGCCACCTCTGCCTGCGACGCGCTGGAAGGCTCCCGTCCCCCCACTGCGTCCGCCACTGCCTCAGCTCCTCTCACCTGCCAGGCCTGGGCGCCCCCAGAATTGTCCCTTTCTCTCGGAGTGGGCGGTGGTCTGTGTGCTGGCGTCGAGTTTGCACAAACCATGGGTAACTTCTGACTCTGGGCTCACCTCTGCCGTCTGTGGAGTTGATGGGCACTGGCCAGCAGGCGCTGCGCGGACTCCAGCCCTCCACCGTGGGGCCTTCAGACTCCACATGACACAGACACGGCGCTCATCCCAGCCAGCGGGCAGGGCTGCCCTGCTGCCAAGCAGCTCTGGAGTTCCCCCAGCGTGCGGGGTCCCACCCAGTGGACGGACACAGCCCAGGAGGGCTGGTGGCCTGTGACCCTCCTCCATTGTTCCAGGTGGGGTCTCGGCCTCCTGCCAGACTTCGGGACAGCCACCGCCCAGCTCCAGGCCCAGGTGTACCTGCCCTGGTCCTCATCCTAGCCCTGCTCCACCTCCTCAGGTGCCTTGGGCCTCGTGGGCTGCAGTCAGCTCTCCCGGCAGCGCAGGCTCTTCCTGTCGGGGGCCTGACCTTGGGGCCTGTCGTCCCTCCGTGGGGGTGCTCCCGTGTGGCCCTCCTGTCCCGACTGCGCCCCTCCTGCCTTCCCAGCCTGGAAGCCCGAGTGGCTGGTGGGGGGAGCCTGGGAGAGTCCTTCAGCGGGGCCAGAGCGAGGCCGTGTGGCAGACCTGCCCCTGTGGCCACGGTGGGCTTGCTGGGTCAGCCTCAAGGGGGCTCTGGACACGGGCTACTGTTCTTGTTTTTTCTGTTTCCTGAGGTTTACTTCATTTTCCTGGGTTTTTTGGGTTTTTTTGCCAAAGTAAAGGGAGCAGGCAGCAGGTGGGGAGCTTGGGGCGGCTGCAGCCCTCACCCCAGCGGACTGCAGCCCGTGTCTGCGGCTCTTCTGTATGGAACGTGGAGACCTTTACCTTGATCCACCGCGTGTGGTTCTTTCTTTTCGAGACATGGCGCTGGCGCGTCCTGGCTGCCGGGGTGGGGGTGGAGGGAGGGCTCCTTTGTGTGTGGTCCCCTCTGGGCTTCCCCAAAATCAACCCATGTGCTGGGCTGGCGAGAAGATCCCTGTGTCCCTCGTGGCTGACGGCCGTGGGGGGACCGTGGAGGCGTCCACGTCCCCCAGAGGGTGCGGCGCCCCCCAGGACCACGGTGGGGCTGCCTTGGCCCTGTCTCCTGGGTTCACAGAAGGGGAGTGGGTGTGTTCACCCTTCTCCTGAAATGCTGTTATAATTTATCCCAGAAAATGTTCTTGGGCTTTGCTTTGGTGGCCTTGAGTGGGGCTGGGGAGCAGGGCCTGGAGGCTCAGTCCCAGGTGCTCACTGGACAGGGTGGGGTGGTGTGTGGAGTGCAGGGTCTCAGGCCCCACCAGACCAATGGAGTTGGACTCTGCAGTTGTAAAATTTACCGTTTTTACTTTGAAGTGATCTTAAGCTTGCAGAAAGCTGGGGAGCGCACAGTTCTGTGTGCCTCCTGCCCAGCTCTGCTCACCGTAGCTTCCTAGTGATCCACGTGAGTCTGCCCAGCCGGGAAACTGCCTGACAGCACGTCACCAGCCAGTCTCCTTCCTGGTGGTTTCTAGTCCCTGGTCACCCCGGTTGGCATGTCCTGGTCTTGTCCCCGATCTGGGACAGGACCTCGCTTTTGTCTTCACTCGACGAACAGTTTGGAAACATGCTGGCCAGTTATTTTGCAGAACGTTCGTCAACTTGGGTTGGTGTGGCGTTTCAGGGGATGAAATCCAGGTTGTAGTTACTGGCAACAAGGCCACAGAAGTGGCCTCCGCCGCTGCACGGGGTGTGTGACGTCACCGTGTCTCGCTGCTGGTGGCTCACTGCACCACCGGGCCCGCACGGCATCTGGCAGGCTTGTCCGCTCTGGCACGGTCCTCCCCCTTTAATTAAAGTGTCTTGTGGAGATTGTCACAGACTGTGCGGACTTGTCCTTTTCCCTGGAACGCCGACGTCTGCCGATGAACCTTCCTGGTGACAGTGACCGTGAGTGACTGGAGCTCTGCCCTGAGGAGTTTCTCATCATTCCTGTCAGTCTGGACCTGTGGGCGTGCGTCGAGTGGGGTACGGGGGCTGCACCGTTCTGTGGCTCCAGCTGTGTCAGCAGTTGGGGCGTCCTCTTGGCTCGCTCGGTTGCGCCCTCACTTGCAGGACTGCAGGGTGACCTGGCCCCGTAGCTCCGGCCCTGGCCATTTCCACATATGGCCCCAATTCTCTTAGTGGGGAACAGTGTTTGGAAAACGAGGTCTAGGCATGAGTTGTGCTGCAGCACAGTTGCTGCATGCCTCTGCCCCAGGCCTGCACGGCCCCCAGCCAGGAGGCGTCTGCAGCCCCCCTCGGCATGCACCAGAGACCACGGGTTCGCACGGACGCCATAAAGCTCAGTCAGGCACACCCCCCCTTCATTTGTAACTTTTCTGACCGAAAACCTGCCTCTTGCATAGTCACCTTCTCGATTATTTTTTGTGCACAGAGTATTTCCAGAATTGCGAACCGTACTCCTGTATACGCCCTCTACTGACGAGAGGACAGTGTGGCTGTGTGTAGCTGTCAAAACATCCATCAGGTTGTTCTGTTCCACGCCCTTTCGCCGTGGCAGTCACTCTGTCAGATTTGTCTGTCTGTGTTCCATAGGGGTTGTCCCCCTTCCTGGCTGGCTGTGCAGTGGGGGGACCCATGTCTGCCCTCAGCCCCAGGCATGAGCCAGCCCCAGTGCTCCAGGCACATGGAGCTGCCTGTGCCCTTTGGACTTGAGAGATGCAGGTGTGGCCCTTTCCTGGGAGGAAGGGCAGACGGGGTGCAGCTTGGGGCATCTGCCTGCATCCCGAAGTGGAGTTCCGTGCCATCTGCCTGCACCCCAAAGTGGAGCTCTGTGCCATCTGCCTGCACCCCAAAGCAGAGCTCTGTGCCGTGGGGTGGGCTGCAACCTCCCCTGCTCCATGCAGCCTCTTACCGGAATTCCCAGATCTCTCTGTCAGGTGCCCTCCCCTCCCCTCCTCTAGGAAAGTCTTGGAGTGGGGGATGAGTGTCCTACCTGTAGCACAGAGGACCAGGCACATTCCTGGGGCAGCTGAGGAAGAGCAGGTGTTGGGAGAAACACTCCGTTAGAAACACTCAGTGCAGAACCTCTGCAGCCCACCAGGGGGCCCCCCAGGCTCCATATCCAGCCAGAGGAATCGGCCCCGCTCAAAGAGGACCGGGACGGAAACCCTGTCACACACTCAGCAGCTGTCCCTTCTGGAGGGGCTGCTGGCTGGAGGTGGCACCCAGGGAGGGAGGGCAGCAGCACCAACCCCACTGGGCTCGGCAAGGCCCCACTCACCTTCACGCAGCCCACGGAGTTCTCATTGCTTCAGGCTCCCAAGGGCCTTGCAGAGCCCCGAGGATACATGTTCCCGCTAGCACGGAGGGCTGTGGTCACCCTCCATCCCGCCTTCTCTGGTGACATCAGCTCTGAGGGATGGGGGCCCAGGGCCCCCACGCTTGCTCACGGAGGGCTTCTGAGGGAAAACTGCAAACGCAGGGGCTGTGCAGGGTGCCGGGGCGGAGGAATCTTCCTTCGTGTGAGACCCAAGGCTGTCTAGACAGGGCGTCCTCAGGGGCCTGGCCTGGAAGGGGGGCAGCTAGTGTGGGGGCCCCACCCTGTGTCCGCGCTAGGCTGTTCACCCCCAGACACCCTCCGGCTGCCCTGTGGGGAGGGACTGAGTATCAGTCCTCGTTGACAACGAGGGTTGTGTGCCGACCACCTCTGTCCCTGTGGGTGTGCCCGGGCCTGCAGGTCACAGTCCAGACCTCAGTCTCCCCCTTATCAGAAGGGGCCGCAAACGCAGGTCCCTGGGCCCTTTGTCAGGTGCACACACAGAGCGGGCTGGGCTGGGCTGTGCACATTGGTGTCTGCGGGTGCATGCGTGCTCACACATGCACTCGGGGCAGCTGCTGGAACCTGGACCGTGTGTTTTTAAAGACCCTCAAGCCACGTCCATGCTGAGCCTCTTTTTAGACTTCCTGAACTGCTCTGCTCCTGCCCCGATGTCCGGCCAGGAGCTGTGTCCACAAAACCTGCTGCCAGGCGCACCCTCGGGGGCCAGGCACTGACAACACACACCCTCAGGGTTTGAAGGGTCACTGCTTTTATTGGGGGGCTGTGCCCTGGGCTGTCTGTCCCCAGGTGTCCTGCCCCAGGGAGCCCAGGTGCCAGCTCAGGAAAGAGGCTGGTCCTCGTTCACAGAAGCAGGGATTCCCCGTCCCCGGCGGGTCACAGAAGACACAGACTGAAGAGCAGGGAGGCCAGGGCAGCCAGCAGGGCCCCCGGCTGGTGGTGGAGGGTGGAGGCCTCCGAGTAGCCGTAGTGTGTCCTGCAGGAGCCGCCTAGCTGGTCCAGCGGGATGGGCTCCTCCTCAGGAGCTTGCTGGTGGTTGCTCGCCTGGGGACAGACACCGGTGGGGCAGCCTGCCTGTGGGCAGGGGCGGGCAGGGGAGCGAGGGCGGCCCCGTCCTCACCTGCTCCACGGCCTCGAAGACCCTCAGCAGATTGTCGGCCAGCGCACCCCTGACCTCCGCCTCCGTCCAGTTCCTCCTGAGCAGCTCTGCGATCAGGTCTGGGTACTTGGAGACGTCCTCCAGTCCCGTGGGGAGCCTGAGTGGAGGCCGAGAGGACCAGGCTCTGCCGACGGGGGCCGACCGGGGCCCTCCAGGGCATCCTGGGCCCGTCCTCACACCCACTTCCCTCCGCCAGGCCCCCGGGGACACGGGTGGGGTCGTGAGGTCATCCCCAGGACAGAGCCGCCTTACCTCGTCACGCCATCAAAGTCCCCACCAAAGCCCACGGCTCCGGCTCCGGCCACCTTCCTGATGTGGTCCAGGTGGTCTGCCCGGGGAGCAGCAGTTGTGGGTCCCAGGTGAGACACACACACACACACACACACACACCTGGCTCAGGCACTGCGACCACTCACCCCCCACCTACCGGCCACTTGGGACAGGTTGGCCTCCCGAGCGCAGGACACGTAGTCGTTGTAGAAGTTCACCATCACCAGGCTGCGCGTCTGGTTCTGCTCAGGGAGAGGTCGGAGCTGGGAGCGGGGGCCCTCGGGGGGTGGGGGGGGCAGAGTGGGCCCCGGCTCCCCGCCATCCCCACCGCACCCCCCGAGGGCCTCACCACCAACAGCAGCACGTCGTCCGGCACGTTGCGCCGGTTCGCGCACAGGCTGTAGGCCGAGGAGTGGCTGAAGATGACCGGGGCCTTGGACAGCTGCAGAGTGGCCCTCATGGTGGCCACAGACACGTGGGCCAGGTCAATCATGACGCCCAGGCGGTTCATCTCCCTCACCACGCTCTGGGGAGGAGGGATTCCGTTGTCCAATCTCAGCCACCCCAGAGTCCCGACGTTGGGGGGCTGGGGCAGGGCTCAGTCCCCCAGCTGGACCAGGTGCTGTCAATCAACCCTTCAGTGGCTGCAAGTTTGGCACCCTCCCTGGGGTGGCCACCACCGACTCCATTCTACGGATGCGGAAGCTGAGCCCCCCCCCCCAGTGGGTAGAAACCTCGTCTCGGCACTCCCTGGCCCTCTGCCTTCTCCCCTGACTCACCTGCCCAAAGAGCGACAGGCCTTCACTCTGGGCCTTGTCGCTCCCGCTGTCCACCAGCCAGTTGTCGGCCCTGGAGGAGCAAAGGGCAGGTGCTGGGAGGGGCAGAGTGGCGGTCTCAGCCTACCCATGTCCACCTGCAGGGGAGGCCTGGCCCGGGGTCACGGGGAGAGGGGGCCGCCCGGGGTCACAGGGAGAGAGGGGGCCGCCCAGGGTCACAGGGAGAGAGGGGGCCGCCCGGGGTCGCAGGGGGAGAGGGGGCCGCCCGGGGTCGCAGGGGGAGAGGGGGCCGCCCGGGGTCGCAGGGGGAGAGGGGGCCGTCCGGGGTCGCAGGGGGAGAGGGGGCTGCCCGGGGTCGCAGGGAGCTGCTCACCAGGGCGTGTTGCAGCTGTGGGTGAGCGTCAGGTAGCGCATGCCCAGATGGTAGAGCGCGCGCAGGACGCCCAGACTGCTGTCAATGGAGTGGCCGCCCTCCACGCCGATCAGACTGGCCACCTTCCCCTGCTGGAAGGCCTGCCGGATGCCTGTGGGGAGACGCCGGGGCACAGGTGGGCCCCCAGCATCCGGGGGGTCAGAGACACCCCCTGGAGTGGTGCCGGCTCTCAGGACAAGGGAGGAGGGTGGGGGACTCGGGGCCCCAACCTGCACTGCTGCTGACACACAGGAAGGTCTCAGGGTACATGTCGCACACGCGGTGGATGACGTCCATCTGCTCCAGCGTCCTCCTCACGGCGTCTTTGTTCTGGGTGTCGCAGGGCGTGTACGCAGACCAGAACTGGGGGGCCATGCGGAGGAGGAGCTGACGGTGCCAGGCCCCCAGGCCCACCCGATGTGCAGGTGGCTGTTCCCCATCCCCCTGGCAAGCTTCCCTACGGCCGGCCTGGGTGCCTGTGGCCACCAGGGAAGTCCCCACCCCAGCCAGGCCCAGGGGCAGGCAGATGGGACAGACCCCGAGGTGGGGCAGGGACGCACCTGGCCGCCCACGAAGCCAGCCCTCAGCTTGGGGATGTTGGTGTGCGTGCCGGCCAGGGTGGACAGGTTGGCCCTCTTGTCCTGCAGCTGGTTGTTGAACATTTTCAGCAGTTGCCAGGGCAGGTCGTTGTGCCTGGGGAAAGTCGGCGGTCATAGTGGTCACTCGGGGCCTCCTGAGTTGCCCCTCCTGGCTGCCCCTGCATGTCCTGCAGCTCAGGGGGGCCAGGACTAAAGCCCAGGCCACAGGGGTGAGTCTGAGCTGCTACCTGAGCACACTGCGCCCCACACCCAGGCCAGTGACTGGTGACCACCAGAGCTCGCTGTGTGCTGGGACTGGCGGAGGGGTGTGTGATGAGTGCAGGGCCCGGGGCCACACACTCCTCCCTACTTCTTTTTTTTCTTCTTTTTGAGTCATAGTCTCACTGTGTTGCCCGGGCATCACCCTAGCTCCCAGCAACCTCAAACTCCTGGGTTAAAGCAATCCTCCTGCCTCAGCCTCTCAAATATCTGGGACTACAGGCCTGCACCACCATGCCCGGCTAATTTTTTCTATATATTTTTAGTTGGCCAATTAATTTCTTTCTGTTTTCGGTAGAGATGAGGTCTCACTCTTGCTCAGGCTGGTCTCGAACTCCTGAGCTCAAACGATCCGCCCACCTCAGCCTCCCAGAGTGCTGGGATGACAGGCGTGAGCCACCGCGCCCGGCTCTGTGAGTCTCTTGTACAGTGAGTCCTCCAGGCTTCCCACTTTTCCTACAGAGCTTTTCCCCTAACACAGCCCAGAGGCATCTCCCAAGCGGTGCTGACTGTAACAGCTATTGAGCACTTACTGTGTCCCGGGCACAACATGCACCCTTGGTACCCTCCCCACCCAGCATGCCGCCCCATGTGCCCAGTCCCTACAAGGGAGACGCGAGCATCTCACACAGAAGGGCTGTGAGGGGACCCCCAGCGGCGGCGGGAGTGTGAGGATATCGGGGCTGAGCCTCCCCGGGGAGGAGTGTGGGGCACAGAGGGCCGGGCACGTGGGACTGTGGGCCAGGGACAGCCTGGAGCTGGGACTTGCTCCCTTGGGCTGGAAGCGGAGACTCCGTGGTGGCCCAGTATGGGGGTGGCTGGGCTTGGGGGGGAAGGTCAGATCTGGAGGCTTTGGGAGGTGGAGCTGCCCTTCCTGAGGCCAGGAGAGGAGCAGGGCAGGGACCCTGGTGTGTGTGGGGGGGGGTCAGGCTGGCCCAGGCAGCACAGGGAGGGGCCCTGGACACAAGCGATGTGGGGTCTCCCCCAGGGGCAGCACAGGCCAGCAGGGTGGCCTCCGGCACTGGGTTGGGGCAGCAGGGGGCCAACCCTGAAGCCTCCCCGGGACACACCTGAGGCCCGGAGAGGCCGGTGGGGGTGGCAACAGTCTCAGCCCCCCTGGCCCTTTGCTCTCGAGCTGGGGGCCCCGCAGGGGGGACTCAGCACGACCCCCCCACCGTACACCGTTGCCTACAGACCTATTGCTGCGAAGCCTCGGGGGGTCCCCGAGAGCGCCACAGAGCCAGTGGTCGGCCAGACGCCCCACTATATACATACAGGGAGAAACGAGTCCCAAGCAAGGGCCCACTGGGAGTAGGGAGCACACATTAAACACAGATAAACGATGACAGGCGTGTTCGCATGATCCTACAAATCCCGCTCGGTCCCTGGAATACGTCACAAGAGAGGCGCACCACGGCCCTAGGGCCCAGAAGGCCACCAGCTGGGACACATGAAGGGGCCCCGGGATCCTGCCTTATGCTGGCTTGCTCCCGGCAGGTCCCCCGCAATGGCCCATAAGAAGACCGCCCGTCTGCAGAAGGAGCCTCGAGAGCCTTGGACAGAGACACAGAACATACATAGCACACCTGCCCAGAAGGAGAGGCCGAGGCTGGGCGGAGGATCCCGCTCCCATATTACCCAGCTCCTCGGGTTTTTCAATGAAGGTAACCCCAGCACCGTCTGGGACGCCAGGGGCTTAGCATGATACATAGGCGCGAGGCAGAGGAACCATAGTAAGAGGCTGGGGATCCGGCCCAGAGGGAGGGTCCAGAGCCCCAGATGAAGCGACACCCTGGCTAGGAAAGGACTAGCCGCAGCCTAAGCTGGTTAATGAATGGTCAAGCCTTCTTTGACACAACAATACGACAGATATCTCACTTAAAGAAGAAATACATATAGTCCACCCAGAGAAAAAGACGGAAGGGAACTTACATAAGCAGAGAGATAATCATAAAATCAAAGAAGCCCGAGCCTGAGGACTACCAGCCTGCTAGCATAAGCCGTACGATCATTCCAGGTCTTGCCCAAATATTTACTCATTAGCAGCAGCTCCAAGTGGATCTTTTTTAATTTATTTTCTTATTTATTCTAGGCAGAGTCTCACTCCTGTTGCATCGGGCCT